CAAATGTCCTTGATTGGAGAAAGAGTTCAGCCAATATCTTTGCCCCCTTGACAGCACATTCAGAAAAGCAGTGCCATTTGTTGGTCTATCTGTCTCTCTGCAGGTTTTTGAGGGGAAATGTCTCTAGTCTTTGGGTCAAATGCATGTAACAGCTGTGCTGCCAGTGTAAAATCTATTCAGTGCATCTTCAGATGCCCTAAAACAGTTTAATCAAATAAGTTTATCAGCATCTGTGAAATCATCTTGCCTGTTTGGAGGCATCTATAGCGAGTGAATGAGCCTATAGAAACTTGTTGTTTCAAGGCTTTTACCTCTCTTGTTGTATTTGACGTAGTTTGTAATCAGATGTAACATGACAGCAAGATCTTGACAAGCTGATAATACACTTCACTTGCAAAATTCATGTGCTAAGACTGCAAACACATTTTTATTTAAGCTATGTCATGTTTATGCATAGCAGGAGGATTATTTTTTTTCTTCTGTGGATCTGCCATAGAAAGTCTGAGGAGATCTACAGTTTTTATCTTTTAAAGGATGACTGTTATTTTTACAGCCTCTAAGAAAAAGTTTGACTTTCCCCAGTCACACTGATTTATTTGGACAGTCATTCAGATACAAAGCACAGGATGAAAGAGGTTCTCTTCTTATTTGCTCCCTGAAGCATGTGTGCCCCATTTTTTAGCCATTAGGGTGTTTCATAAGCTCTTATTATTTACCGTATTGGTGAAAAATAGAAGGAGATAGAAGGAAAAGGAAATCAGGTTTTTCAGGTCTCACATAGTCAGTCCAAGAGAAAGAATATCGTTAAAGAAGTCATTGCTGTTGTAAAAAAAGTTCTTGGTCATTAAGAAAGCCCTGCAGTAGCTTCTAGGGATGATCCAAGAAAAACTGGAGAAGTTTCCCACACTGCTGTCATATCAGAGGAAACACGGCAATGCCATGTCAGGGTGTCACACTGGACTGTCTGGTGCCTGTGAATTTGTCATCTGATGAGGCTGTTCTTCCACGCTGTGGAGCTGAGTAGTGCTACATATTTTTCTCTGAGTCAAATCCTGTTGCATCTAGACATTTTTACTCATTTTACTTGAGTAAAATTCTGCCTAAAAATGTCTGAGCAGTGACAAAGGAGATGTGAGAATCCCCATGTATGCTCTGCATCTGGCATGTGAACATAGGTGGGTGTTCAGTCACTCACCACTTTCTTTACCATGCTTCTCCAGAAAATCCTGTGTGGGTTTCCATAGGGATTCAATCTCTGTGGAATTAGTAGTAGGAGGCACGGAACAGGGATTCAGACTACATTATTTTCATTCAAAATGGAGGAAAGCATTAAAAGTTAATAGAAACTGAGTCCATATTAACACAATCTTTCCTTCTATTTTGAAGAATCCTTCTGTAGGACTCATCCTCAAGGACACTATGAATACTGTGATATACATATATACACGTGTATCAGCCTTTCCTGCTTTGGATCCTCTAAAACTGTATGTCTCCAATTGTTTTTCTCTCCCTACATAATCACATGAGCGTTGTTTTCCAGGATCTTTTCCAAGAAAATTTGAGGGCTGAATGGAGTAGAATGATTTTTCCTCTGTATTTTTCTATGGGAGAAAGAATGAAGAGTTGAGAATGAAAATTTTTGAGCTATAGATATGCTTGTTTGAATGCTATCCGCACAACTCTTAAGTGAAATAATATTATTTTATACAGACTAAGGTTCTCTTCTAACAGTCTTTCTTACATTGGTGCCTTTATTTACACAATGCAATCTGTAACATAAATACCTGCATTTTTTACACTCACTCTCTGGTTTATCTGCCATTTTATCTGGGGGACAATGTATTTTATTCTGTTCCTACCCTATATCATATTCTTTGTTGTGGTACTAAATCTTAACAATTGTTCATCTGATTCAATTAACTGCTTTACTGGATATACATTGTACAGCCTTAACTATGATTTTTGAATGTCAAATCAGATTTCTGAAACATTCCTGTTGTTATATTTGTCCCTGGAAAATACTGGACAGAAAATTACATCTATTAAAACTGCATTCATTGCCAAATCCAAAGAAACTAAGTTTTTGAATGAATAGCAGTTTATCAAGCAATGTGTCATAAAAGGCAGTAACTAAAGAAAACCAAAGTAAAACATTCACTTTCATTATTGAACATTTTTAGCTTTATTATTATAATAGAATTACAGTCTGACATAAAATAAAGAGCTTTTGCTAAACTCTGTAAAGCAATACATGCTTCTGCCATAACAACCTCTATTAGATTTAGGTTTTATTGCCACATCACTGCACTGAGGTGCAATAAACATTCAATGTCATCTTTTTAAAATTATCCCAGGAGTAAACAGAAACTGTCCTCTATAAGAGTGTATCATTATTTTCAAGGAAGACTTACTATTATTACATGGTTTAGCAAAGCATTGTAAAAAAGCTACATAGAGAATACCTTGTCTTCGATCAACTGTGCAATCAAGTTTATACAGTATAATACTATTGGCATAGACTAACTAAGAGGTGATATAATGCAATCATTGCATAGCAAAAAGCAGACTAGTTAAGTAATATTCACATCTAATGTGCAAAATGCAGACCAAAAGGTAGCTATGAATTGCTAGAAAGATAAAATGCCCTAAATGAACACACTAGTTTAACGCCAAAAATAACAAGATAAACAAGTACACAGAAGTTAAAGAGCCATAGTTTATTTTTTTCTATACATATATCTACACATGATACCAGAAGATGAAACATCCCCTTTTAATAAGCTCCAATCAGATAACTTATCAAGTTTAGACAGGACCAAATGTTAGACAATAAAGCATTATTCAAAAAAAAAAAAAATGTTCTCTAAGTAAAACGTTAGCTATTTCCTTTTGTATACAGAGAATGTCAACTTCTTGATTTATTGAGAAAGAGTTTAGAAAACACTGCCTATGAAATTTGACTCTCAGTAACTGTTTCTCTGGAGGCTCATGTAGCACTGTTTTAAAACTCATTCAATACCATATATTACATTTTTTTAATTGATGCTTGCAAATATCCACCATTATTTTAATCTCTGAAAAATCTTTATTTGAAATTTTATTTCTAAGAATCAGCAGTAATGATACTGACTAGAATTTTTGTTTAAAGGGAGCACAATACCTGCAAAATGGACATCTTTTATTTAAAGCCCTTACATATTGTTCCTACAAATATATTGCTACAGTAAAAATGAAATGTAGTAAGTGTACTCAATAAAATCTATTTTCCTGTACATTCTTTTATGTATGACTTTTTTGTATTTAATGCTACATATATTACATCACTTATTGTAACAGTTATTATCAGCAAATATAGCAGTAATATACAGATGAACCTCTGTCTTAACAAATATTTCACCATTTTTACCTACCAAATATAATTCCATACTTTAGTATTTATGAATGACCTGAGCAGACCAGTCATTAATCTAATAGTATACATTGGATGACATTGTCAAATTGCAAGCTACTGTACACTTAACCACTTTACAAATGGAATTAATTCCAAGCACTTTCTGTGTATTTAATTTTTTAGACTTTCCAGTACCACTTTTTTTTTTTTTTATTATTCAGGCTCTAAATATGTTTTATTGAGCATTTAACAACATATTAAGAGCTAAAAGGTGAATCCTACACAATGTTTTAAGAACACAACTTTAAAAAAGTAAAAAAATGTACAATCTCATGCTGCATATTTACATATATTATTTAAATACTATATTTTGTCTTTCTGCTACCCATAAATCTCAGTCTAAAGCTTCTTTTTAATGTATCATTTTATAAAAGAATACATTCAACATATCTAGAGCTTGCAAAAAATTTTTTTGTTGTTGTTTTTTTTTTTTGTTTTTTTTAACTCTCTAAAACGTAGTGATGAGTAAAAGCTATCTGTAAAATCATCCAGGAATTGTTTGGATTACACAGGTGATAGAGGGAACATGGGATCTGCACTTGATTGTGCAACTGGTTTTAAATCTAGTCTAGTGACAATTTAATGCTTAGAACAAGACTGCAGTAAGACAGCAGATTAAAGCATTTGTTACCATTAGAACTTATGTGTTATACAGTGACAAACTGCACCTAGAGCAAGTAGATTTCCTTTTTCTTTAAAGATCATTTAATATTATAATTCAGGTGGTCTGGAATATAGAAGAGAAAAGGGATTAGGAAAATAACATATTTTATGGGATTCAGCAAATGTAAAGCTTTACATCCTTGAAAAGATTATAAACAGTGGTTGAATAAATGGTACAGTATAGTATGTGCATCAGGAACATCATAAAGAATATTTTCCCACTCCCCACAATCCTCTGAATAAAAATATCTTCTTCACATACATATACAATACCTTTTGGGGACATTCGGTACTAAGCTATCTACAAATGGTTTCCTTCTTTTTCATTATTCTAAAACTCCTTCTTACACATTTTCAGAATCACTTTTCCAAAGTATATAGCTTATATTGTTCTCTCCCTCACATACAGGGTTTTTAAATATACAGATATATTCTACCTTTTGTTAAATAAAGAAACCTTTAATTTCTTTAAGACAGAGACAATGAAGCAAATGGGAATTACTGTATGTGAAAACAGGAAGCAATTCCCAGAGCAAAAGACAAAAACAAAACTATACGAATAAATTAGGTTATTGATGTGGAGTTGGAGCTTTTAACTGGGGCTCCCGGTTTAAATAGGTAGCCCAATAGACTAAGTTAAAGATTCCAAAAAGCAATGGGAAGGCTATTCTTGATAGTCGATCAATTTTACTGACACTGTTAAAAGTTTTCTTGGGTTCTGCAGGTTTTGTTTCTGGCTTAACTTCTTTGGGCTCAATTGTTGCACTTTTAGCAATGGTTGCCAGCCCAGGGTCCCTTGCAATATTAGGGGTGTAGCTTGTAGCTGCAGCTGTGTACGTGTTATTTTTCTTAATGAGAGGATCCTTCACTTTCTTTGGCTGAAGAAAGAAGAAAATGTTTTATTCTCACTATCTTCTCAACAGATAAGATTATAAAAAGCACGATAGAATTCTGCAATTAATTGAATTTATACCACAAATTGTAATAAACTGTAAGAGAGAAGTTAGTGTCCAGATACATAACTCATGCAAAATATTTAGGTGAAGACAAAGACAAAATCATCCATCTGCATTATTTATATTAGTGAAACCAAATTAGATGATGGACAAAGTATAACAAGGACTTATACTGATAGCTAGGCTCACTGATCAACAGAATTACCTTTAATGGTAATCAAGTGACAAGCCACTCATGAATCAATATTCCCTTAATCAACTGTGCTTCTTGACCAGGACAAAAACTTTAAAAGACACTGAATTTCTTAATGAAGCTTTCCAATATTAACACAAATAATGTTACATGATGCATTCTAACACACTTTATACATAAAAATGTACAATAAAAATATCATGTGACCATGCACTAAAAGAGTGGATTATTTAATAAAATGCAAAGCTGTCAGTATTCTGTTCACTAATGGTTTACACCAAAAGCATATGCATTATGGAATAGAAACTTAATGTTCCTGCTTGAGTGTTACAATTGGATCATAATGGCTAAAATGTCATTCCATATACACAGACTTAAAAACCTGTATGATTTTTGCATCCACCTACCTATATTGCTAAAGCAAGAATGTATTGAAAATCCTTTAGTGGAGAAGAACTTATTGATCAGAAAGAATATCTAGATTTTTCCCCTGGGTCCTTATGTTTTCTAGTATTATACTTCTGAGATCTACTTGTAGGAAAAAAATTAAATTTTGGCATCTGGGAATACCAGTTGGAATTCAGCTGTCACTGTTGCAGACAGTCCAAACCCTTGTTCCAGCCACTGCACAAGGATAAACATAGGAGAGAGATGTAGTGGGTTGTTAAGGAGGTGTAAAGAAAAGCATCACTTTGCTCCAAGTTCCTCTGATTATGAGAAAAAAACAGATAACAAAAAAATTCCTAAGAGCTTAGAAAAATCTTCAGGCAGTATTCGCCAAAAAAAGAATAGGTAAATCGATTTTATCCTCTTAGAAGGAAAGAAAAGAATATATGGCTAAAGAGAAAATATCAGCAGAATGCGATCTATTATGTCATTTCACAAGATAGCAAATATAATTCTCTGGTTTTAAGAAGCAGCTGTCCCACAGAGGCAGTATTTTTTAAAGTAGTCACAGTACTTTTTATGAGAGATCAAATGTAGCTTAATAGCTATATAGACCACCCAGCTGGGGGGCTTTGGTAAAAAGTTCTTATTCCAGAGGTGAATGTTTCAGGAAGCAGCTGGGCTCCTGCAGGACACCTGGGAACGTGAAGGCAAACTGCAAAAGCAGCAGGGCAAGTGGGGAGAGGCTCGTCAAAGCATGGCCTGCAGCCCCATGCAGGAAGGAAATTAAGGCTGAAATGTTAAATTTCTGCTACTTAGTAAGAAAAGGGATTCACATAATGACTCTGATGTAAATGCTCTTTATTTCATGACAAAAATATTCAGCTTAGCTTGAGGCTAAGAAAAAACTTCAAATTCTGTCAGAATATTTCAGCTGAATAGGAGTAACAAACAGGTTGAAGAAAATACTCAGAAAATAAAAAAGGCAATGTCAGAAAGATTTTTTTAGTTGTCTGTCCATTCTTTTCCTCCTGAGCAGGAAGGCTGCTAACAGGCTTGCTGAGTATGAAACCAGTCCTGTTTCCTTCTCAGCCAGACACTCTAGCGAGCAGCGACAAATCCAGCAGGCAGAGGACAGCTTCACAGAAATCTCAAAGGAGACCCTTTCTATAGATTTAAATGTCATGAGAAATCTGATGCACAGAAATCCCTGACACCAGTCAGGGTCTTAATATTTCATGTCAAATTCAATTTTATGAAAAAGCAATATGACAGCTAATTAGAGCTCTAAATTTTATTAAGATGCTCTGTTCACTGCTAGTTTGCCTTGCTTGCTTTTCCTTACATCTGCAGGTAATGCACTCTACCAGGTAGTGGTATGTCTTCGCTGACATATCAAAAAATACATAAAGACCCTTACCTGCTGAGAAATGCAAAGCCATAAATCTTCCGATGTTCTAAATAGTGTTTGAATATTGTGTTTCTATTGGTGTGTTTTTCTCTGAAAATGTAATTTTCTTTGAAACAAATGAAATGGCTGATTACAGTAACTGTGTTACAAGGTAGGTTATATTAACAGGGCAATATTTAACATTTAAGGATTTTTTTCTATTCCATTTTTTACATTCCATTTACATATCCATAGATATGAAGATAGGAGCACAACAAAGAATCAAACAAATTATTTTCAATTAGAGTATCATCAGTAACTGAAAACTCAGTATTCACCAGCAGTCATGCAGATCATTACTGTAACATTCTTTTGTTACTTCACTCATTTGTTCTACAATACTTTTGTATTAGTTGTCATTGTGTAAATGTACTGTATTTATTTCTGTTTTCTCACCGACTTATGAAACTAAAATAGCAAAAAAAATTATAATTATATATAGGCATACACTCCTGAATTAAACACATATATTCGTGCACCAATGAGTAACATCTGGTCCTCCAAATATTTATTCTGCTGAATCTCTAGTCTGTGAATGTTCATAATAACCAATTAGGCAAGTTAAAAGTCTGTTTCAAGATCTCTCAAAAAATATCTCCAACCAAATGAGCTTCCTCACAGAAGCAGCTGACATGATAACTCATAGGAAATGGGAAACTTTCTCTTTCATCCCCTAAATGTCCTCAACAATTTCTTGATGCACCTGTGATTTACAGACCGGGTCTGACCCCGGTACAAAGGGAGTCAGTGTGATTTCTCTCTACTGCATTCAGGGAGTCATGGATCAGGATTGCACATTTCCAACACAACTGTCAATGCTTCCTGCAAAACAAATCAATTTCTCCTATGGATGAGGAACTAAAATAATATTTTTGTTTTTAAAAAATAGGGACATTATAGGAGCCAAAAGAAAGGAAAGAAAAAAAGTCCTGTGGTGATTTATTTGGTTGTGATCACAGAGCAGTCCTCCTGAAGTTCATGTTGGGGAGCAACTTTGGAAATTCAAATACAGTAGCCACAAGATTTTTTCCTGTGTTTATACCGAGGCATCCACATTTTCTCTTGATCAAACCCTAGAAAATTAATTGCCTTCCCTTAAAAATACATACACTTTTATCTTCTTTCTGCTTAATTGTACAAGTCAAAATCTCAGTAAAATTGTTAATTGTTAATAGCATTAAATAATATCCAGTATGTCAGAAGTAGTATTTAGGCACTCAATGCTTAAGTAATTATTGAGTATATGTAGAAATTCTGTGTGCAAAAATATGAGGAAACTCTTTTGGAATAATTGGTCATTATTCTAAATAACAGGAATTTCTAACAGGCTAAAAAGCCCCCATATAGTGACCAAGCATGACACAGCATGACCTGTTGGGACAGATATTAAGTGGTGTTACCTTTTCAGGAACAACGCTTTTGCCATCCCATGCATAGCCTCTCTTTGTGAAGTAATTCACTGTTGCAAATTCAATGAGTGCAGAAAACACAAAGGCATAGCACACGGCTATAAACCAATCCATAGCAGTGGCATAGGCCACCTTGGGGAGCGAATTCCTTGCACTGATGCTCAGAGTAGTCATTGTCAGGACAGTTGTCACTCCTGCAAAGCAAACAGTTTTAGCATCTTTAGATCAGTGGCTATATTTCATGCTTAATTTCTCAACTGTTACAATAGATGGGAAAGCCTTGTCTTCACTAATTCTTATAAACTTCCCCACTCAGTTGCTAATTGAAGATATCAGATTTCACATTCTGTGGAAGTTGCAGGATCTTCAAAACATCTTTTATACCTTTATTCTTTGACATTGTTGTAATAGAATAATATTTTTAAAGTTGGAATGGAAATAATATTTTGAGTTGTGGACTGGATACTACTTCATGCTTCCTGGTATTTGGAGAATCATTGTTGCTGTTCCTTATTCATGCTCTGTGAATTGTCCTACAGATGTAACAATTTAACATTTTTAGTTGTTTCTTGTCACAGTTCTAAGATATTTAGATAGAAAATGAAAAAACTTGTTTTCACTCAGTTAATTTGGTATATGCACCTTCAAATGTATACTCAAATGCACTGAGCTATATGTGATATTACATTTCATTGAATCGATGGTTTTACAGATTTCTGTCTCTTTATTCACTGATGCCCTGAAAATAGCAAAGACTTTATGTAAGAACAATGACAATGTAATCTGCATTTCTGATATCAGAACTTCTCACTGCTGGTGAACATTTTCCCTTAACTGGCCACAGAAAGCAAGCAGGACTTGCTCTGCTTGCAGCTGCTTGAAAAAAAAAAATCTAAAGTGCAGGATAGACATTTACATCAAATCACATGTCCACAAGTTACCTTGACAACTGCAATTTCATGTATTGAATGTGTCTTGCAAGTTCATCTTCGCTGCACTGAGTGTTAGTGAAAATGTGCAGTGGTCTAAAATAGGCCAAATAATGAACAATGTATTTACATCCTGGTGTAAAGTGCTTGAATTATTAGTGCCCAATGAGGAAGCAATTTCTCTTCCCTGAGAGATAACGTAATCTTGTATTTGACTCATTGCTAGTGATTTTAAGTTTCTCTCACATAGGAGCAAAACACAATTTATAATATTTATTGTCTGTGGTACTAAGTGGACTAAAAGATATAAGTTGTGTTTCTGTGTGTATATACATTTATGAAAAATTCTCTGTAGCATTGTTTCACTGCTGTTAAGGAATGAAAAAGCTATCTTGATACGTAATGATGGAGTAAACACAAGGCTATTTACTAAATAAATCTTCTGAAAGGAAAACTTTCAGAAATGTGTGGGTCCTTGAGCCTGTGCAGATAGCAGCTTATGCAATATTATATATTATTCATTGTGAGATGAGGAAATTTTGTTCTCCATGTAAGGACAATGAAGTACAGCATTTCAAAATGATGATCTGACATTTCTTTTTGGCATGTTCAAAAAGAAGTAAAATAGTTACAATTTCAATAGCTGTGACTACAGAGGCCCATAAAGTCCCAGGTTAATTCTCGGTGAAGATGATTAAAATTCAGGACTAATTTTAGATGTTAAGCTAAACATTATCATATAAATCAAATTTAATTATACTGTAGTCTGAACCATTATTCTGCAAATGTAGACCTGTATATCAATAGAAAGCCATGACTCAGCTCATGAGGTCAAAGGCTATGCAAGTTGTGACTGATTTCCAGAGGTATTGGGAAAATAAAGCACAGCTGTGAAGAGTGCCAGAAAAGGTCAATAAAAATAGCTCTTGTTCAACAAGAGTTTCAGAGTCTGCGTTTCTCAACAACAGGCCTTGTGACTCTCTGGCTTTGCTATGTCCTATGTAAATTGGTAAATTCTCTTCAGCAAAGCAGCAGGACCCATGGTGTGCTGCCCCAGTAGTGCCCTGAGGCAGGGAAACAAGTGTAAAAGCCAACTCAGCTGTGTGTTCCTTTACCTCCTCCTGCCAAAGGTGTTCAGGTGTCCCATCTGAACATCACAAAAAAGACTAAGTCACATAGCAGAAATCTCAGGTTCTGTTTTCCTTAACTGAAGATTTGTTACTTTTTTAAATTTATTTTTAATTATGTACTTGACTTGGATTAATACCTCCAAAGAATACACTAGTTGTTTGTTTCTAATTTTAAGATAAGCATTTGCAAGCAGTGGTTAAAACACTAAGGACCAACTGTATAAACTTAGAGTCTTTTAGGTTGCCTTCTTACTGCATTTCAACAGGAGACCTTTAGCAGAAGCCTGCAAAAAGAATTGATGAAAAATATTTCCAAGATAAGAATTTTTAAAGGGCCTAAGGATGGCAAATGACTAACACTCATCGATTAAAGCTATTTTGACAGTCCCCACCATGAATGTCATTGCCATTGTCAGAAATGTTTTATTCATACACTTACTGTTTTGGAAAATTTGAACTGTAATAAGATTGCTTAAGGTATTTTCAGGTCTCTTCTTACAATCAGTTTAAAAGCTTTGGACCTTAAATCAGTTTCTGGTGCACCTTTGCAATGAAACATGTTAACTATTGTGTACTGCACTACGTCCAGGCTCATGCTGTTTTCCAATATCGTGTTACACGTAACTAGTTTTATCATAAAATTTCTTAAACCTATTTGGCTTATGATTGCCAAGCGGCTTATAGGTCTTGCTTACCAAATACGGTTCTTGCTGGAACAGATTCTCTATTAAGCCAGAAGGACACCTGTGACAGTATCACTGTCATGATGCATGGCAGATAAGTCTGGATGACAAAGTAACCGATCTTTCTCTTCAAATGAAAATGTGTAGTCATAACAACATATTCCCCTAAAAACGAGAAAAGCGGGAATGTTAAATCTTTTATAAATATACAAACTAGAGGGCTTTATAGGAAGTATATTTTCATTATATTCACCCCTATTACAAAAAAAAAAAAAAGTCCTCAGATCAAATTGGATCAGCTCTGAAGAAAACATTTAATGAAGTAGGTTCTGAAGTTCCAATAATAATGCAAAACTAGAGAGTTCTGGGAAATGCTAATTAAATTTACATCTTTTCATCTCTGCTGTGTAGTGAATGAAAGTCTACATTATCTGGTAGCTGTTTAGGCCTCTTGTGAAAGGTCATATTCCATTAGAAGATGGAAAACCACCATAATATCCACATGCAAACATCATATAAAGACTAAATCAAGACAGGCACTCAGTTGGACCAGGCTTAATATGTAATTGTTGATGTGATTGTGTCTGCATTACCACTGTTTGTGCTTTATGTACTCAGAAGATTAAGTGTCCCTGTTCTGCTACTTCAGTACTTTACTAATTGATTATTCTCTCCTGAAATAAATGGACAATGCAAGAATAACATAGAATATTTTCATTAGAATTAACTTTTTGGGTGCTACAAAAACATATGAGCTGGGTATTTGAATTGCAATTGAAAGGAATCTTATGTATTTCTATAACTCTATAAATCTTTCCACCCATAGCACAGCAAATAATGCCTTGTTTTCAGATCATTATTTACATCATTGACAATGGATTTTGAAAAACAGTATATTCTCAAAAGACTGGGAAACCTATTGTGATTTTTTTTTTTTTTTGGAGTAGATTGGTTCTTATTATGCAATAAACATTATCTTAGGAAAGAAACAATTGGACACATAACTGAATGGAAACCTCTGTCTAGATTAGAGATGATGTGAAATTACTGTTTTTCTATCTTAAAATGTAGACAGCTGGAAAGAGAAAGTTGCTCTTGTACAGGAAAAGCTTAAATTGGATTGAAAAACTATGTCTAGACATTGACTGCTTATGCACTGAGCATGTCAAATGCCCTTTTCTTTAATTAATAGCCTAGAAGAACATTAATTTGAGCAATCTTGCTCAATGTATAACCCTGAGGAAAGCTTATAAATAAGATGTGACAATACTCCTGGTATGTTTCAATATAAAAGACAGCAGCAAAGGGAAAAAAGAGAATCAATTATAAATTGAGAGATAAAACAAAGGATACACAATGAAAATTTTGTTTCAAAAATAGGACTGGAAGAAGTAGTATAGTGGGAATTATTACTTGAATTTTGCCCACCTTGCTTTAACTTTCACTGAAACAACCTTCTTTTCCTCTGTACCAAAGATTATGATCTTATGAAGGGTGTCAACCTTGGCTAGAAGAGCAAATAATTTAATCTACTAAAATATGACGTGGGAACCAATTTTAATGCAATCAGATATAGAATGCTCACAACGGTATGTCAGAATTAATTCAGTGATTGTAGATGGCAAGCTAAGAATACAGAGTGAACACACCACTGTACTCTGAAGCTTTATTTAGCTGCCTAAATTATCAAAGTATTTTTAACCTCTGGAAAATGAGAACAAGATTAGAAGTATAAAGGCAATTAAAAAGACAGGGGTTACTCTCATCTGTTAAGCGTTGCAGCAGGTCTGAGCTAGAAGCCAGCTAAAAGTAATGCCATGAGGAGTGAATCAGGCAAAGCACAGGCCTAGAATAATGCCTACAGTTCAGTTACAAGACAAAAATATGTTTTTAAGTCTCCAAAGCATCAGTGGGTTGCAGTCATTTATTAGAAGATAGTAGATCTTTGATGAGTTTTATTTAAATAACTGCAGGACATGAAAGTACTCCAGTTATTTACTGAATCTTTAGCTTCTCATATTTTATGGCTTTCTTTAATTGAAAAGCGTAGCTACATTCATGACAGCTACTGACCACTGTCTAAATTCCCAGGAGTTCCTCTCTAATTCTGTTTTCAAAGGTTTGTAATTCAGCCTACAAGCTAAAATTTCAAATAGCTCTTGAGCAAAATATTTCCTTTATTCATAGTGTCTGATTACTAGGCTTTCACGAGTTGTAGCACAAGTAGTAGCTTATGCATCTTATGCTCTCTTATTTTCTTATCCAAAGACGTTAGAAATAAAGATGTTACTTTTTTGCTTCCTTGTAATTCTTATAATCTTCTACAAATCATTGTGTTGAGCAGCTACCTTTGTTTTTCATTTCATTTATTCCACTAAGTTTAAATTAGTTTATAAGTATTACACAATATGAAGGATTTATATTAACTATATTAACTATTTTTATATTAACTATATTAACTATATCATCTATATTAACATAGTGTTTTGAATGATTGTCCACATTTGAATACTTCTAGTGCTCTGGAATAGTTTGTGCCTGTGCTCAACACTTCTATAGCTGCAGTTTTTAACCAGCTACAGTGTATTGCAGTAATTGAGACAAATGCTCAGGTGGTATAAACTATCCTGTGTCCTTAGAAGGAAATAGTTGATAATTCAGTAAAGTTGCTTCAAACGTATTTCTCAGTGTTCTGTAAACTATTTGTAATAAACCCAGTTTATCAGGTGAGCACCTAAAATTAATGTGCATCACATCAGACATAAAGTTTGAGGTGGGGACTGAATTTTAGGTATAATAATACTTCCTCTGTCACTGTAGGTATGAAGTAAAGCTTTCGTTGCAATTTATTTCAAACAAGTATTTCTCATTTACTACTTATGCCATTTAACCCAATAGAAAAAGTCTTAAGAACAGAATCCTCTCAGCAGATTTAAAGAGTAGTAGAAAAAAATATACCACTCTGAGTATAAATCCTGATGATTCCCAGTGCAAAGCAGTTTCTTCAAGGTGGCAAAATAATTCTATGTAAATAGAAGCTTGCACAAGCTCCTTAAGCATCTGTTAATGTACTTACAAAAATGATCATTTTAAACTCTAAGTTAATATCAGTCAGTATAGTTGGAGAGTGACAAGAATTTTGCATACAAGTAAAAAATGGATTACTCTCTTCTTAAGTAAAACAGCAACAGCAATAATTATTTTCATTTACTGAATACTATTTTAAAGCCTGCAGTACCTACACATTCCATTGCCAGCACAGATGAATCTATACTATAAAAAATTTTAGTCTTTCAAGATTCTCTTGTCATTATAAAAAATCAGTATTTGTAGTTACCTTGTTCTAGATTCAGAAAAAGGGATAGCAAATGGCCTACTAGAAAAGGAAGAAATTAAAGAAAAAAAACCAGACTTATGGATTCACCAAACCTTTTTATAGTTTTGAGAATGTTTAGAGTAACCCAGTTACACCCAAATTCTTGGAAAATACGTATCTGTAATTCCAGACAACTATAAATGTCATCTTAAAATTGGCCAAATTGTTGTAGATTCTTCTAATGATCCAGAGAATCAGCTGCATGAGAGCTTAATTTTCTTGCCTAAGGTGCTGAGAACTCTTAAGTGAAGATTGTCTTCAATTCTTTTTGTTGGATGAGTCATCATCCACAGCTCTGAAAGTAGGGAGGGATTTTTAAATTTTCATTACATATGTCATATCTCAAAACAGAGATGATCAGAGGACAATGATATGATGGAGGATTCTGTTAAGACTAGCTGTCCACCTGCCTGAATGGGGAGAAAGGTGATTATTAACCACTTCTGATCCCCACCATTATTTTGGGGAAGGCGAAGAATTTTCTTTTGCAAAGCAAATCAAGAAGAATTTTTCCTCGAGACATTCAATTTGCAAGTGATAACTGTGTTTCGTTTACCACTGTATATTCTTATCAGGTAGTAACTAAAGAGGATTGCAAGTTTGGTAGTAAAAAGATTATTCAATGGGCTTATTTTTAGTTTTGATAACCATTGAATTTAGTTCTTTGTAATGTTTTTCTGCATCTAGACAATATCGTCTTTATTTCAGCAAATATTAACTATACTGTATTTAACTTTATAGATAGGCTTTTCTTCAGGTAGAAAAAGGAGGCAGAATTAAAATCTATGAAATATCATGGGCAAAACATATTTTTTCATTTCTTCATGGAAATGCATGAAGAATTTTTACACTTACATTTGCCTTCAGTTCTCTTTAAAAAATTATTATCTGCCTTTCTTAATAATTGATAGGGTGCTTCTCACATTACTATCTAATTACCCTGAACTATATCTGGTATTATCTATTTGGTTTAGATATGTTCCTAATCTTATGAGTCTCTTCTGATTATCCCACCGCCCTTATGATTTATCCAGCAAGCAGAGAACTGGCGATGAGTGCAAAGGGCAGCCACTCAGGTTGCTGAGGTGTCTCTGCGTGAATAGTTTCAGGACAGAAAGAGCAAAGAGCTCGAGATCCTTGGAGTTCCTCACAAATCCTATTGACTTTTCAGGAAAGGGCAGATGGGGCGAATTACTGGTTCTACAGAAGACAGTGGCAACATTTCTAGCTGTGGCCAGACGAAGAGTTCTCCCCTTCTCTTTTTACTTGTCTGATGCATGCCTCCATGCTGAATAATGGAAGCAGTGAATCTGTGGGAGAAGCTGTGTTGATACTGTTCTTATGCAATGTCCTTATTACTGCTATCCCACTTCTTTTATGATTACATCAACTGCACAGAAGCTTCCAGAGCAGTAACCTGAATATTGTTCCACTAGAAACTTTCATCTGTAAGAAATTTTGTTGGCTTAATAGAGCATATGAATATATTTTGGCAAGCTACATAAAAAAATCAGACATGAATTAGGGTTCACCTTAAAGTGACTCGCTTTTTCTTTAAATGTTCACTGACTTTATGAATGACACACTAGAAAGTTTCGTTTATGCAGGTATAAGTGTACTTCTCTAGTTCAATCACAACGTTGGGTGCATTCAAAGCAATGCAGCTACTTCTAATGCAGTGCTTCTTTCAGTCCATTAAACAGTCAATCTGGTCAACACTTTGAGCTTCTGTTCATGCCCAGTGCTCAGTTTCTCACTGTATTTAGGTCTTTGTGCCCCTTCCAAATTATTAAAAAAAAAAACCAAAACAAAACAACCCCCCCCCAAAAAAAAAAAATCTTGAAACAAACACTGCAAAGTGAAAAAGCAAACATTTTTAGCCAGTTTCCAGGCTACAGGTACATAATACTATAAATGTTGGCTATATTTCTATATCTCATTAACAGTTCTGGAGCTAAAGCTGGTGCTAGAATTAAGACACCTAAATCCTGTTTGGATGTTCCAGATGGTTTTTAATTTGATGACATATTTTCTTCACTCTCTAAATACCTCTTTGAGAAACTATATGCTTGCTTTTAGCAACTGCACTGCTTCCAGGAATATGGTCTTTGAGGATTTGTATTCTTACACTATTTTTTTTAAGTTTATATAATAAGTAGATAATAGAATAAGGATATGAGGAGTACTTCTTTATAATGTAAATTACCGTTTTTTCTGGCTAGATCTGTCACTATAGGAAGCCTTAAAATTGTTCAAATATTTTAACCACCAGTTGAAGTAGGAAAATAATCCCAGGATATGTTATCTTTTCAGAGTCATGTTTCCTTAATCTGGAGCTCATATATTGCAATTTACCTCTCTTGCTCTTTGGTCTTTGTATTTTTTCTCTTGCTCTAAATTATGTTTTGGCAGTTAAATATGACCCTTGACAAAAAAAAAAAAAAAAAAACCAAACAACTTTTTCACAGACCTGTACTGGATTGAACAATTCCAGAGTCCACAGTTTGTCCAAGTAGATCATATTGGTTCAATCGAGAGCCGTCTTCAGCCACAACCACTGACCTTGCTGGTTCCCGTGTCCATTCATACACAACCTCTGCTCTGGTATAAGCATCTAATTTAAAAGAAATACATAGCTTTTCAGCTTTGCTCTTGTATTGCCAAATGGCTTTATCAGAACAACGTTTTGTACAGTAGTTTGAATATTAAATTATCTTTAATTATCTGTAGAAACTCACAACTATCTTACTGGAACTATTTATCTATGAGAAACATAACTAATTTTATAGGACTGTCCATACAATGATTAGCCAGCTGCTGTAGGGCTGGATTAAGTTTGGTCCTCAATGGCATGAAAATCTTTCTCTCCCTTACATTATTCCTACCTATGTAAAATCTGAGTAACCATCAGGAAGACTGAGATGTGGAATTTCATGGGCATGCGAAGACTCCAATTCTTTTTCTAACTTTTAACTACTATCAAGAAAGATGAGCCCCAGCCTTTACAATTTGTCATAGTGTGGTGTTATCTGGGCAACTGTAAGAAAAGAAGTCCTTCCCAGAGTGGCTTCAGTGATCTTATCATCAGCCTGGATAGAGCTCTTCATTTGGTTATCCCCCTTCTTGCACTGTCCTTGCTGTATAACAAGCATAGCAGACATTTCTGAGGTTTCCTAGGCTCAAGTAAGTTTAAATCACAATTAATCTATTTTTTTTTTTGCTTTGGTTATTTCTGAGAAATGCTCACACTCAAGTTCATATTTATCTGAGTCTTGAACAAAGCAGAGGAAAAACACTGTGGGCTCTCCAAACCTAAGTAGTCTCATATGCTACATAGATAATTCAGTAGCATACTACATATGCCATCCAGGTGTTTTGTGCTGTTATTAGTATGTTATTTGTGTTATTTTAGGAGTCACACTATATCTGAATGTTTTTAATCTTAGTCCCATTGTAAAATCATTCTGTCGTTTTGCGTAGTCAAGAGTCTGACAGCTCTCACTGTGAGCACTTAAGGTGAGAGTTAGTTGTCTACATAGAGGGATCTAGTGTCACTCTTCACACCCAGGAGCATCCAAGACATGTATGGGACTGAATGTGTGGTCAGAACCTACATAAAGCTCGTACCCACCAAAGGCAGCTGGAAGCCAGGTGGGACATTTTAGGGCATCTAAAATGACAGTAGTGTCCTACCTACAGGGTGAGATTTACCTCTTTTTCAGGACTGTCAAGCAGTAAAGAAAAAGGAGGAATCTGATTCACCTGACCTAATTTCTGAGTTAGTAATTTTATCTTATCGATGTAAGAGATAACAGTTAGTAATTGAGGGGGTGGTGTTGGCTGGAGTGCGCTGGTAAATTAATTGCATGGCTTTTGATCCTTCATTATTGAAGCCAAAGGGTGCTTTTACCCTCAGACTTCATATTCCCCAAAGCACTGTAACATATACATAGCTTTTTGGAATGAATCGTAAATGCAAATCTACATCTTAATAATTCTGACCTTTAAAATTATGGCCACAGTAAGCACAAGAATTGCCTTGCTAATCTAGTCAAAGAAAGAGTAGCAATAATAATAATAATATTAATTTTCAAGCATTTTACTTATTCTGGAGCATGAGAGTAGTTTGGAAGAGAGAGGACTGATTTTCTGAGCTGCTGAGAACCACTGGATTGAGTTAGAGGGACGGGAGTATGCTCGTTGGTGCTGCAAATGAGCTTGCCCTGCCCTGTAACTGCCAGATTCAGTGCTCTGTTCAGCTTCCATCCTCAGCTTCCAATTCAGATATTGCATAAGTAGCAAAACAGCCTTTTGCTCCTATCACTGCTGCTTTCCAGAGTGGCCTTAGTTTTAAACTGACAGATTTTTGTGGTAAGAGTTGAGGAGAGCATCTGTCTTTCTGATTTTGTTTTGTCAACATATGGCTTTTTGTTGTTCCAGAATCTCTTTAGCATTTGTCACACTGAATTTACATTGGAATAACCTCTAGCTTAAGCTGCTATTTTGGCAGATCACTTTAGCCTTGGAGCTGGGTCAAACATTTATCGGCCTCTATGATACTGGCACAGTCCATAGGAGATATGCAACTCCTTCAGTATGTATGAGGTTTTTCTGAATCCAGCTCCAACAAGTGATGAGTAGCAGTGGAGGACATGGAAAAATTCTTATCCAATTTAATCCAAAACAGAGCTGGGCAAACACTACCTTGGGGAGCTACCGAGATAATATTGTAGTCTGCATGTAAAGGATGGCTTTCATGACAATTGAATATGTTTTTCAGTAAATTTTTCAATCCATTAAGATGATTATAATGAATTGCTTTAGTTATTTGACAGAAATGTCATAAATACATTTAAATATGATTCCCACTGAAAAAGTGGCAATTAAATATAAGAACTGGGTTTTTTCTATGTACAAAGGCAAGTCCCATTTTCATATCTTGCTTGGGTCCAGTTATTTGTCCTATGGGAGATATTTCTGTTTATATCAATAACTAAATATTGAGACAAATATTCTATAATCTGATAGTTATAACATATAATCTGATGATGAAGAGGGGAGAGGTCCAGCTTTAAAACCCTGTTCTGGACAGTGAATTTCCCATGCAGCGTTTGCAACAAAACAATGTTACAGAAGGAACTCCTCCCCGTGAGGACCCGAGATTAGAAACTCACCTGAATTTAGTAGGGGAATACTAAATTTTCCTGAAAACTTGATTTTGTCTTACGGTCCTTCCCAGCATTTGGAATTACTTATTTTGCTAGGTCCTGTTTAGGACAGTTGGCATAACAGCCATTTAATGTTCAAAACAAAAAAATAATGGAAATAGGCTGTAAAACATAACAGACCGTGCCTGCACTCTGAATTTAGAATGCTAGTCATTGTCTTTGACTTTAGTGTAAGAAATGGTCTTTCAATCAGAAATATCACTGATTAGGTTTTTTTGTTTATTTAAATAATGTATACTATGATTTTTTTTTCATTATAAAAAAGGAAAACCAATTTAGATACAAAAGATATGCAGATACACTTGCGTGTCTTTTTGCTATTTTCTTTTTACCTTGTGATGTGGTTCTGGAGTTGTATTCAAATTCATATTATCCATCCCTTCTCATTCATAATTTCTGCATCTCTTAAACATTTAATCGAGGCAAGATCCTTAGTAATCTGGAAAGCCATGCACTTTGTGTACAAAGAGTACACTAATCTGGGACAGAGTAGGCCAAAAAGAACTCAGTGTAGGAAAAGAATGCGAACTGTTGATCAGACTAGATAGTGTCAGGTGTTTAGGCTGTGGCTGTATGATGCACAGATGTGTGATCTGTGTCCTATCAAGTCTATAAAATTTCAGCCTAGTCATTCACATTTGTTCAAAAACTGTTGATGGTTTAACTTTGCATTAGCAGGTTTTAGGCACAATTAGCCATCTTGCCACCTCCCAGACCCAGCATGCAGACCACATAAACACTTCAATGTTCATTTCAAAAGAAATTCAATTCTATGACCACTCCTGATCTAACTGGGATCTCAGGTGCACAGATCTGTTATTAATCAAGAACCCACTGCAGATATTTGGCCTACTATTAGTGGGAGTAAAGCTTCCTCCCACCCCCTTTTGTTTCACAGGAGATTTGGAAAGATTTATTGGAAATGCTGTAAGAGAATTTAATGTTCAAGGAGTAACCTATTCTTGTTGGTTATACTCCAAGTTTGTATGAGCTTTTTGTTCTCTAAATCTTATCTAGGAGGCTAGTAGTTCTTTAAAGACAAAATATCAGTCCTTTCTCATGGTAAACATAGAGCAATTCAGACCAAAGTAAATTATCACCCTGTCTGGTACCATGTGAAGAATGAATTAGGTGTTCTGTTTGTTGACTTCTAAAATTGATCAAGCCACTAAGTACCTGTTATCAGTGAAATGACCCATTTCTACTAGGAAAAAATAGCCATTGAGGAAGCAGTTTGTACACTATTAGATGTTCCACACATTTTGTCTTCGTTGTTTGTTTTGAACCAACCAGAGTGAAACAGCTTGCTTTTTTTTTTATTTTTTTTAAATTTAAAGAGTTAGTTGTATGGGGGCTATATTTAACTTTTAAAAATATGTTTAGCGAAGTGTATCAGCGTCAGGTTGGTTGCTATTCAAATTAAAGTTTTTGAGGAAATTCTCACTTTACAGAAAACTTTATCAGTTATTACATTGATTTCATTTGCACTGCATTTTGGCAAATATGTTCTCTAATCTCAGGTTACAAATGCAGCAAGTGTAGTGCTCTGTATTGAGATTTGTGAGATTTTTCACCTCCAGAAATGTTGCATGACTATAATATGAATATTTTATAATCTTAGGTAAAATTTTGTTCTAAACATGCCAAGATTATGGTAGGGGGATTGTTTTCACCTAAACCAATTCAGTTCAGTTATCCATGGCCTGTCTTGCTTGTCACCAACACTGATTTGGGGTTTTAACAAAATAAAGCAACTGTAAGATTAACAACATTTTCTATGTGACAAACTACTCTTCTAGATGTTTAGAGCACTGTCATTTTTCTCTTTTGTGAATGTCCAGGCATGACATTGGAGGATATTTAAGACACATAGAAGAGGTTCATTATATTAAATATAAATATATATAAGGATAAAAATACAACCCTGCCAAAAAAAGTGAAAAATACACAAGATTAAAACCTTGAGGTTTTCTCAGTTGCAAAGTACTTTTGTAAAGTGGCCTAAAAAGGGAGAAACCTCAATTTAAAATAAACTTACAGCTTCCAAATTTCAAGGGGCAAGCATGTGCATCCATAGGAAAGTCTTCTAAATGCATTGGACATTCTGCTCTCACAGTCAATCTATAATGGATTAATGAGCAAAAGGACACATTTATTCTAGTTTCATAGAAATAGCAAATAGACTTCTATTAAGACACATAGAATAAGCTTAGCATAATATCCGTTACGTGAATAATTATCAGCTAGAACGGGACCTGAATTGTCTGGCTGGGGGTGCTGACAGGCCTGTGTAGACATAGCAGTGCGACTGGCTCTGCCCCTCTACCATGGTTCACTATACAGCAGAGATGTGCTCAGACTTCTAACTTGGCATGAGGATTAAAATCTATTAGCAACTGAAATTGCTTCCTTGCTGCCATCACTAAACTGGCCCACTCTGGATGCTCAGACACTTGCTGAAATCATTTTGTTGCTATCAGCTTGGGTGCAAACACGTTTCTCAATAAAAGAGATTAAATAAACTAGAAACAGTCACATATCACACATCAGCAAGGAATGAACAATAATACTTGAATGCTAGGCAGAATATTGAATTAAGGCACTTGCAAAGGTGAGCAAATAGAAATGGTTATGGTCAAAAAAAGAGACATATGTGAACAATATGCTGCCAAAATAGTGTTCTTGTGGATTAAATTCCTACCAGCCAAGCATTTAGGAAGACAAGAAAAATTGACCTGGACTTCTATAACTACCAGCCAAGCAGATTCTACCCTAGCCTAGGCATTGAAAGATGTTGTAGAATAAACTGAACATATTTGACAGGCTCCCAAAAGCCTGGAGACTGTTTTCGCCAAATACTTGTACTGCTTTTAAAAACATCTTTAAAATTGTTAAAAGAAAACTCAGTGTTCACCTATGTACTAAGCTACCCATCCAGACTTTAAGTCAACAGAATCACTTCATACCTTGTTTGATTTCATGGGAGATAAAAATGGGGGATGTGTAGCTCTGTAGAGACAACATAACAGATTTTTTTCACTATTTAATTTGCAGTTTTTTAATCCAGAAATTTTCCATGACTGTGTATCATCATTATTTCTAAAGGATATATTTAACTCCTCTGCTGACAACTGGATAGCTAAAGTTCAGTTATCCATGAAGAGAATAGTATATTTCCAGTAAGATTAGTGCCAGCATAAAAATATTTTCTCCTAAATTTCCAAATGCTTTAGTGAATTGTTTTTCTTGTTATGAATGGAAGAAGAAATATCTATTTTTAGACTGTCATGCAGTCCCAAGCACAAGAAATAAGAATGGGCAATGAATTCTGTGTACATCTGCTAGTTCTTAGAATCTGGTTTTTATAGGATCCAAAGATTAAAGACCCTTATGCACAATCTAGTAGTTTAAATTATATTAACCTTTCAGGCTTTATTATACTTTGCTCATGGAATCCTTGGAAGTGACTCCAAATTAAGGTCCTCAGCAAACTGATGAATTACAAATACTATAAGTACCTTTTTAAAATCAGGCATTAAGACACAGCTAGGGAGTGTAGAAGTAGCGCAGCAGGAGGAGAGAGAAATAAACACTGGAAATGCCTCAGTTTGTCTATCGTTCCATGGCCTGTTGTGAAAATAATTACTAAGCAGGAATCAAATTATGCTCGAAAAGGAACCTGTTTTCTTTTTGGAAAATATGATGCTTTAACAAGTTAAATTGTCAAACTAAATGAAGGATATAATATTTTAGGGCTCACCTCATTGTGTATAGCAATGTCCCATCCTCTGTAATTCGTAATAATTTATTTGGCATTGTCATGTTATGAGCCACTGACTTCTTTCCATTGTGGAAAAAGGTATCAGGTGTCCAAATTTTGCTGGCCATTAGATTATTTAACCGCAGAACAGTCATAGGTCCTTTGAATTTTAATCTCTCATCCTTCCAGCTTTGGCGGAAAAATACGTCTATAGTGTATTCCTATATCAATTCAGAAAAAAGGGAAACACTGGTGATGCCATATATTGCAATATGATAACTTGAAAAGTATATTGTTACCATTCCCTGCAAGCAAGATGACTATTAATGAAGTTAATAATTATCAGAATGTTTATTCTCCATATTACTTACAATATACCTAAAGCTGGTTATTAAACAGTTACAATATCATTACTGTCTTCAACGGAATAAATGGTAGTGAGAATAGCCTATCAAAAGTTAGACAAGAATCTGAGATATAATATAGTGGAAACAAAATAATTCACCTTTTTCTCACTTTTCCTTTATCCTTTCATAAAATTGTAATTTGAAGCTGTAGATATGTAGCCAGTATGCATAGCACAGGAAGAATATGTCTCTTAGAATAAAACAAGCCTGGTGAAACAGGGTCTTACTACAGCCTTTTGTTCTGTCTCATTAGCATAAACATATAGTTAACTTTTGAAGAGTTCACAATTCACTAAAATTACATGGTCTTATTTATGATATATGGAATGGCTCATTGGGCCAAGTCATTGGACTACAGAGAGCACAAGCCGAGGACAGCTTTGGACAAAGAATTACAGTTCAGTTGTGCAAGGACTGGACCAACAGGGGAGAGATGCAGTGGCTGACTCAGTGTATATAGGGAGAATCAAAATGACCAACACTCCTACGAAATGAAGGAATTATTTGTTACAAAGCAACAGGAGCAAAGTTAAGGAGGAGAGGGTGAAATTAGGAAAAAGACGTTGGAGTATTATACATAAAATATAGATGTATGTGGGGTGAAAATATGAAAAATGCCTGTGGATGCAGTATAGTATAAGTTTTCACAGGGAAAAATTCCACTCTGACATTAAAGTTCAATATGGGATTATGCTGCCCCTTTTCCATGATTCATGGCTATGATATTGTGATAAATGTCAAAAGTAGCTATCCAACCATTGTTCAAAATTACCCTGAATTATAATCTTTTTGCTGAGAAACTGAACCTTTGCTTGAGATCTTTTGCCAGTGGAGATGGCAAATCCTGAAATAAAGGAAATTCCAATGTGTGAAGGCACATACAGCTATAAAGAAAAGACCTGCCCCAAGGAATATGTTAGTGGAGAGAAACATTCTGGAACGAGTATGCAAAATCTTTCTGTGGAAGTCTCTTAGACTTGTGATTTTTCTTTTAACAAATGGCAACACTCCATACAATGTAAGCAACTGTGAGCTGTTTATTCCTTGTGCAACTATCAGCAAGTAAGAATGGTTATTTTTACTGGTGATGTGTTTTTCCTAGTCTTAGGGCATGAAATGTCTAAATAAATTTCTTGTGGACATGGAAATGTTGCCATTCCATGGGCTGTTCTTTGGGTTTGTTTGGGTCTTTGTCGTTTTTTGTTTGTTTGTTTGTTTTTGTGGGTTTTTTGTTTGGTTGGGTGGTTGGTTTGGTCAGTTTGTTTGTTTGGTTGGTTGGTTTTTTATTTACATCCCAGACCTGTGAATCATTTTGGTGCATACTTAATTGTATTTCAATTTTTTTAATCATATACTCAGAGAGCTGCTGAAGCCTGGATTTGTTTAGCTCCAGTGACAGCAGTTTTGCACTTGAAGTCAACTACTTGCTTCAGAATGTTGTTGGGTCGGGGCCTTAGGTTGAACTGTGTGCAAAATCTTGTCCCAGGTGTGCAGCAGAGTAGCAGAGAAGGAGGATTAAAAAGCAGTAGATGGCATTAAAATATTGGATTTCCTCCACATTTTACTAGCTCCAAAGAAAATTTCCTCCTACACACATGGGAAAGGTAAAAGACATGCCCAGAGGTGACATCATTTCAGTGTGCATGTAAGCCATTCCCTTTTTATCTCTTCCAATTGCAAAGAAGGAGGTGAGTAGGAGGTGGTACAGGTTGAGAGAGGGGAGTCTGGTTCTTCACTTTATATGAACACAAGGTTCTTACTCTGGAGAAGAACAAGGAGTCTGAGAGATCTGATAAGGGACCTGACGGCATAAGAGAAAACGCAAAAAAAAGCTGACAGGTCATGCCTGGCACAGACTGAATCCTTTTCTATCCCAAGCCTTTGCACCATACAGGATGAATTCATTTTGGCTGAGATTTCTCAACTCTTTAGCTTTCACTACCCACTTTAACACGTATAATAATTCTTCCCAAATGAATCCTGACAGTCAGCTGATCTTTAAGATCAAGTCATCAGATACTCTGATTAGGTCCTTCTACAGTAGGATGCCATAGAGAACAAGGCGACAGAAGAATTTTCTCCAAACCATGTACTATAGCAGTGATCTATGTGAAAACATATGAGCAAGATGAAATTCAGAATAAATTCTCCACAGCGGAGAGTCTTCATTCCTTCCTTCCTATCTGCACTCTTGCAGTAAGTTGTATGGTATTGAATAGTTATAACACTTTGATGTACATATTCTGTAATTTACTCATCTGATGTCTCTCCCTGAAGAGTGTTTATTCACAGGTGCTTTTATTTTTTTTTGTTTACAGCACAGGATGAGGTGCTGTACAAGAAGGTAGTAAGACAGAAATTTTTTCCTGGAGAGTTTACAGTACAGAAGCAGTAGGAATGAAGGTTTAGTAGAAAAAAAAAAAAAAAAATCTGTTTTTATGAAAAGAGTTAATTATAAAATGCTTCTTATTCCAGACAATATACATCAAAAATTTCACAAAAATGAGTCATGTGACAGTAGCCAATTATCAGTTGATTAGTTCAATCCACCATCTGAGAATGCATGTCTGAAAACCTGCAAAGTTCTTCCAAAAAAAATAAATTAAAAAAAAAAATGCTTTTCTCTTGTTTAACTTTATTCACAAGTTTAAGAACAAGCCAAGACATTCTCTTTATAGAATAACAGGTTATGTCTATACTCTTAAAAGAGTGTATTGAGAGTGGGTAGGAACACCATGTACTCTCTGATATATCAACCTACTATCTATATAACTGCCTCATTGGATTCCTGCAAACAGATGGTCTAGGTATGCGGATGTCTCACTGTGGCTGTAGTTTCATAACATATGGCGTCAGCTGGAACAGCTCATTGCCAGTTCCCCGCCATCAGTCCTGGGCTCAGACAGCAGTGCAGCGTTCCCTCGGCGTGTCAACACAGCTGCTTGCGAGGCTTCCCGGTGACCAAATCCCACAATCTAGTCTACGCTTACTGTAAATCTGCTCACTGGAGCAGATCTGTAGTAGCCCTCAAATTATGGTGTCTACAGCCAACCTGTGGTATGCTCTGAGGACTTTGCAGTAAAAGTACACTGAAATTAATATAAACTTTATATTCTGGTAAACTCTTCATTTTATCTTTCTGTCTCTGATTTCACACTTACTTCCTTAAGCAAAAGAGTTAGCATGAGTAGGCTGCACACACATTACTTTTTAGGGGAGGTGAGTAGGAGTTTTACACTAATTACTTTCCTGTAATTCCTTAGTTTTCAAAACATATGAACACCTGCCTGTGTGTTTCTTCATCACACACTTTATTAAGAGACTGATGAATTCTTTCTCCTGTTTAAGTAAGTGAAAATCAGGAGCCAATCTGGTATGTATGGGTTTTTAGTCATTTTTGAATTCTTTTTTTGTAGGTAGTGATCTCTTATGCTTATGCTATAGTAATTCAGCTATACTGAATTATAGCTGAAGTCAATACTTTTTTTTTCAAATACACCTATTCCTAATTCTTAAAGTAGATTATTTTTGGCTTCAGTATTTTATTCTTCCTTAAATCCAAATCCATTACAAATATCAGTGTGTCCTAGGAATGTCAAATTAGTTTTACCTTCTACTTAATAATTAAATCACCGGATGCTGAAGTCCAAACATTATATAGTCCCACGTAATTCAGCAAGCCGATCAGTTACTCTGAATTTATGTCTACATGTAAGAAAGCATCCATGTCCATTTGTTTATTAGATTGCCATTCATTATTGGAGTTTTCTAGTAAACCTGACTCAACAGAGCAAACAATACCTTAGCCAGTTGACTTCTAGAAAACAACTCTAATAAATATTAATACAAAGCATACATTCACCCACATATATCTATCACTCCTTTTTTGTTCATCTCCCACAAGCATCTGTGTCCAGCCTGACACTTTAGATTACATTAATTTTCAGGAAATTAACAAAAGACCTGTCTCAAGAAGATAGGTTCAAAGTTTTCAGTTTGTCTAGTGGTGATTGGTTACCTATTGCGAGACATAAATGGGAAAACAAGTTGAAGTGTTTTGCAGAACCAATTACCAGAATACAAATAGCAGTTGTATTGGTTTCTACAAATCTTTAATCCAAGGAATTTCCCCTGTTTTAATGTATAATTTAGACTAGTAAATAGATATTGTAATTTCACAAGATTATTACAGAGCATAAAAGCAGAAATCACTGAATGAAAGTTTTTTTTAATTCTTCTTCATGGTATATATAGTATTTAGACAGTATTGCATACACGTGCTGAGGAGACAAGTCACCAGTCTAACAATTTCCCTGGATTACCCTTCTATTGTAAGGCTTCTCAGCAGAATGACTGGTGAAAAAGCCTGTGCTGCTCAAGCTATTCTTTCTCATTTAAATATCATGGCATCAGTTGCAATTATAAATTTGACTGTAGTTTTATAAATGTTATTTTCCAAGCAATCAGGAAAATGGAGTCTTTGCATAACGTTTAGGAAAATAAACTATCTTGTAAAAGTTTCTTTCTCCGTTATTGCATCCCTTAACATTGTTTTGAACAGTTAGAAACTTGTAATAACCTTGTGTTTAAGGCCTGTCTACAATTTTAGTTAAACTAACAATTTTGTGTTGGTAAATGTATTTAGATAAATGTAGATGGATACAAGGTTGAACTGTTTTCTTCATTTAAATTAATGAGGATGTTTCTAGCATTCATTCTAACACAGGATCCAGCAGATACTAGTAGCTGCAGACCAGGCTTTCCCTGTCAGTAGCAACCTATTTGTGAATACCTCATTTATATGCAAAATTTAAAGTCCCTTATCCGTATTTTTACACAATTTTTAATACCCCTTAAGACCAGGGCCCACAACATCTTCATTCAGTTTTCTGAACTTCTCCATCCCCTGCAGTTATCTAGCAATTTGATTTTAATATTAATTCCATAAAGAAGTGACACTAATGCTCTCATTAATCTTCTCTTTCAGCAGCCAAAATCTAGGAAAGTCACTTCCCATTGATCAGTAGCTTTTAATATAAAAATACAGGTTAGACTGTACGGATGTCACACTGTAGGCATAAGTGTTAATTGCATTTTAAGATGATGATCTTTCTTGGCAAATTGGATCAGTGATGTGCCAGCAAGGACCTGAACAATCATTCTCAGAAGAACACGGATCCAAACCCTAATGCATTTCATAATATATTATGTAGCAAATATAAGGTCTGTTAAAACACATTATTAAAGTCACCGAGACTGCTAATTTCAGGGCACTTAAATACAGTCACAGCTAGTAGGAATGTTTGCACATAAAAGCCAACAGCATTTTGGAATCGAGGGTTTAAAAAAAGCCCAGCCTTAGAAGGAATAAATAAGTCACTGCATAGATCTTTCATCCTTCAAATTAAAAACACAAGAGAAAATTAATGCTATAGAAATATCTGCCATCGCTTACCATATCATGGTCTGAAACAGGCCCAAAACTGGTGACGAAGATGTCAGTCTTCACTTCAGTTACACGCTCTGATGAAGCAGGAAATTAGGACAGTGAGTGTCTATCAACAGTCCTCATTAGATCTAACCACTACCAATTCTCACAATAAATAGAAAATTATTGGCTTTGATTAGCCATTCTAAAATTGGTCTACAATACAGTCCTGATAATTTATTGCTTCTAGGTGTAATTTCACAGTCACTATTGTCAGCAACAATTTTTCTATTACAGTGTTTCCACAGAACTTTTTGAGACACGGCTTGTGATGCCACAGTTCAGCAGCGATAGTTCTGCTGTTGTGTAAATCTTTTCACTCCTTGACCAATAAATCTTCTTGTCTGACAATATAAACAGTGCTGAATATTTTACACAGTACTCAAAAGTCTCATTGGGTACTCAGTGTTTCTGGGCAAGCTGAATGAAGGTCTCTAATAATTAACCCTGGGTTTATGAATTATGTATTTTGTATTGAGACACAGGAACATAGAAGAAAAAGAGAAAGAATACATTACAGTGTATAAAACATAGAGGTATTTTATTGGCATGAGCTAGAAATCGCTGCGTTACCTTTAATTGCAATAAACAAGGAGTTAAAACTTTTCCAAATAAATATCAGATAAACTTCTCCATGACAGTTTTTGACTTAAGTATAAATGTTACGGTTTGTAAATGTTTTAACTTTCTTTTAAAATTGATATGGGCGTTAACATTAGATTTCCCTTAAACTACCAAATTTTTTTTATAGTCCTCAATGATAGATTAGTATAAATAATAATTCTGAAATCTCTAACATATACATAACACAGGTTATATGCATATGCTATATTATAAAGCTAGACTTCTCTGTGATTTCAAGGATGTAAATTTGTTCCATGGCACAGTGTTCTTGGCCACTTCAGAAGAATCTGATGATTTAGTGGTCACAAATGCTGAGTCTGAGACACCTAAAATGGTGCTGATCTCCAGAAAAGGACAAACGTCTGGCTTCTCCAAATCTACTGTTAAAAGTCACTTTGAGAAACACTCAAGCTTAACCTCCCCCCTTCTTCTCCTCCCCTTTAGACACACATAGAGTATCAGTCACTTTGGAACATACTGGTATTTTCTAGGCCACACATCACAAAATATTCACCCGGGATGGCATATATCAAAATAACTGTTGATTTAAATATAGTTGCAGGGAGTAACACCACCTGGAGGCATAAATCCAAACAGTGTTGAATGGAGCTAACCCCATCAGCTTTCAGAATTTACAGTGATGTAAGTGAATACATTTACTTTAGTGCTATACAAGCCAATGTGGAGTTTTTGGTAGAAAGCTCAAACATGGAAGGATTGATACAACTAACTTTCAAAAAATAAATAAATTGAGAAAAATGGAATATTAAAAGTAATACTAGAGAAACGCAGTTAACAGAAAAGTACATGTATAGTAAGTAAAAGTCACTCAGCAGGCAAAAATTTTCATAAGACTAAGAAATGTATATACATAGCTATTTGTATAATGTTAAATATTGTAAAGTAATTAAATTTAAAAACTAATCTAATACAACCCTCTGATTTCAAAATACTTTGTACTGTTTAGATATGGTTTGTTCCATCTAACAAGAAAGTTCTGACAGAAGAGAAGTGAAATAAGGAATCAAGGTTAAGCAGCAGGTAAAAATACACATTTCTGTATCTGATGCAGAAGTTCTAATGAGAATCAGTGTTCTACAGTGCACATACAGGACTTTCACTTTAATTCAAAAAGTATACAACTTCTAAAGATATATAAATATAAGTAGTTTAATATAAATATTTTATATATATGCAGTAAAATATCTCCTTTTGTGAGGCAGCAATAATCAAGATGTTTTATTAGATCTGATTCTACTGTCATTCTGGTAATGCACTGAATGACACTTGTGTTCTGTTAGCAAGTTAATGCTAAAATGATGTGGTAGCAAAAGTAATCTCCAGGACTCATTAAAAAAGTTATAGGATGAAATTTCCATTGTATTATTCATAATCACAGAAAGTAAAATAGTATGATGTGACTGAATTGCCTAATAATATTATTTTCGTTCCTTATATTTGTGACCAAGATGTACAAACTACAGTGACTACTGACAAAAGCATTGCATAGGTGAAATTTCCTCCTTAGCTGTCCAGTGAAATTAAGGTGTGACCTTATAATTATTTACAAGCTTTTCAACTGACTTAAAGAAATTTAAGTATTCTCTTGACACCTAATTGGCTCTGGACTTAGAGAAGTTCACAATAAGAAATTAACCTTCTGTTACTGGAAGAAGCATACGGTTGTCCAGAAATTACTTGTCTGGGAAGAAAAGTATTCTCGCCTTCAGCCCATCACTTTCACAAAAGTTTAAGAGGCTGTGGTCTTGTATGCAACAGCTGGCAGAAAAAAAAAGATGGAGATTTCACAAGGTCCAGTAAAACATTGCTGAATATATTCTTTAAGTTCCAGCTACTGAATAAACCTTTTCTTAAGACTGAGAAACTAATATCATCATGAAACCTATTAGTTTTTTACATACTGAAAAGTGAAACTCAAATGACTCTCTTAAAGATCTTTCATCCTGATTCCCCATCTCTTCATCTCTTTTCCACTGGTGCCATTACAAGATAGAGGATGCTAGAAGCTCTTCAGGCACACTGCATTCATCCCTTAACGGTGTAAACTCAGAGTCCCAGCACTGAGTGAGCCTCTATTTAATATAATATAGCTAGCTAATTTGCCTTGCACAAACACAGAACATGCTCTTTGAATCAGTGCCATATCATGTAGTGGTAACCTGAATTCTAGTTTTGGGATACATGTGGTCATAGACATGCGGTAGAGAGGTTGAAGCTTAAGAAAATCATTTTGAGGACACAAGATATAAACTAAAGGCTTTGGCAGTAAGATGGAATGTTTCAAAGAGGGTGGAAAAATGAGTGATGCCTTTCATTTCTATATAACATTGAAGATAATTTAAGTGGTGTGTATGTCATAAGTAATAATAGAAAATTCAGATTGTGAACTCACAAGAGATTGCGTTATCTTCATACTGATTACACTTCTGCAGAGCATCTAATTCCAAGTCTCTTCAAATCCAGATAAAACTACTGTATGCACCACCAAATTATTTCTTTTTTCTTTGATATGTACCTCATTTTCAAGAGCAATGAAAAAGTGTGTATGAACACACAGCATAAGATTAAAACCTCCAAAGCCATATGGAAGTTTTGAAATTTTTGTTTACTGTTTTACTAATTAGATGATTCAACTGTGCTTTGTTAAGAGCTTCAGAAGTTGTGAGTCACTCCTGCACAGGACGTGTGTTTACTCATACAGTTGAGATATATATTTAGAATCAAGGTTAACCATGTTCAGTTTGCAGCTTGATTACCATGGGAAGGCTTAAACTGTGCTTCAAATGCTCAGAATGAATTTTTCAGGAACCTCAAATCCTGAGCTATATTCAAACCCTTCACAATATCCCTAAGAACTAGAGAAAATTGTTAAGTCATTGAACAAAACAAACTCAAGCCAGGAGCTGATCAGACTGCTGAGGATAAACCCATCAGTTGTAAAGACATGTTAACCATGTCTCTTGACTATAACAAATATCTCACGAACTGGGATTAAGTAATATAGGGATTTCTGTAGAACATTGTCATGGTTTAACCCCAGCTGAAACCAGGACAAATGTATAACAATTCCAGTAAAAAACCCTAAGGAATTTACTAATGACTTACTAGTTTTACTGTAAGGCAACCATATGGTCTAAGTACTTACTGATCAGCAAAATAGCAACTGGGTACCACACCTAGACACTCTGGAACACAGCCTCCTCATACAGCTATGAAAGCACCAGTCAATGTCAACAACTGTAATTTTACTGTTTACAACTACTGCATTTTGCTAATGATGCTAGACTAACGTAAACTCTCAAAATTAGTAACAATAAATATTTTGATTTAAACTCCCAGGGAGCTCATCATTGCTAGGTTTGTGATTGGATTACAAATTGAGAACAAAATAAGAAATGCAGATTTATTTGAACAGCAGGAAATAAGCCTATTTATCATAGGAAACTATACATTAACTGTTACCTTTTCTGACCTGCCAGTATTTGAGCACAAGACTTATTTGAATTGCATTTTGGTGGTTTAAATTAATTCCATCTTGTTTGGTAATGCACTTGTCCTCCTGCATGTCTTGTGTGTGTACTATGACTACTAAAATGGAGAAGATGTTTCCTACGGTTTTGAATGAAAGGAATTTAGACCTCTGCATAGAGTACACTATTATTACTAAAAAAGTCATGTATACTCATCATCCTGGCTTCATCCTGTGAAGTATTTTGACTGAAGAACCACAACAAATACACTCATAAGAATTTTGTGCTGTTGCATTTGTAAAAGTAGAAACCAAAAGGGAGAACATTGAGCTGTCCTGTGATTACCCAGCTGCAGTCCCTGCTGCTATGAAAGGTTTACTCAGACCTGTGCAGTGTCATGGCAGCTCTCCGCATGCCAATTAATAGCTCAAAGCAGCTCATACCCTCCCTACCTCCCTACTGTTGTATTAAATCAATTTTCCTAGGATCTTCCATGGCTTTTTACAGTTGTCTTTACATCAATGTGCTGCCTACCAAGTGGAAAAAAGACCAGAATCAGCCCTTTCAGTTTTCACAGAGATAAGTATAGCATCTAGTCCTTCTTTAGTTACAGAATTATGTGTAGGGGTCCAGTATATGACTCTCTTTTCATTTAGAGTAGAAACAATTAGGTTTAACCAAATATTTATTACACATACATACCAAAACCATATTTTTCCTATACTGTAAGTTAGCTTAGATATGAGTTCAAATTCAACAACTTCCATTGGGACCTCAATCACAAAGCGTTAAGTTTATCATACATTTTTAGATAATGTTCTCATAAAATTGAATTTTAAAACCTAATTAACATAATACTGTCAGGTTTATTTTACATCACTTTAAATATAAGCACTCTGTGGAAGTAATGAATTGCCAGAGATGGACCAACATTCCACTTAAGGACAGTCACACTCAATTTTTATAAACATTACACAGGAGAGATCAACTGATAGCTTTTACTAATAGCATAAACCAAGCATAATTCTGTTCAATAGTGAAGTAATGTTGATAATCTACTTGAGATGATCTAATAGGTATTTGATCCAACCATAAAAGCAAATTTCATTTAGGAAAATTCTGATCTGCCTAATCAAACCCATTCTTTTTCTTCTCAGTTCCATATTAAACAACCTTTTTACTACAAAACCCCTCTCAAAGGGATAAAACACATTTACAGTTATTCTAAGTTAAAAGGTCACAGACCTTGTGATATCCTCTAGTTTTAGAGAGGGGATGTGTGCACTGCAAAGGTGATAGTCTTAAAAAATCTGTAGCTGTACCTGATTCCATGTTAATGACTCTCAGCACCAGGCACAATCAACCTGCCCTGCGCAAGCTCACCCTCCCTCCACTGTGGAACTCCACATCTGCCATGGTGGCATCCCAAGGCTCGTCTCTACTCCCTACATGAAGACAACCCAGAAGAAAAAGCAATGGCATATCCATTTTTCCAAGGAACTTATTTTTTCCACCATTTTTCAATTCTTTTAATCTCACACTCTGAATATAGTGACTTACTAGGAGAGGTCACCAAACACTGAGCTGAATTTTCCTTCTTATTTGACTCCTTCCCAGCACTATCTGACCCTTTATTTTGTTCAAGATTATGGATTTGAAAAGAGAACAGCATCTTTGTTATTTAGCCTATTTTTGATCACCCTTGATCCTAGGATCCATATAGTTCTCACAGAAAATTATGCTATTACCTAAATGACTTCATTGTTTATTTTTTCCCTTAACATCTAACATGATTTGCTCTTTTTCAGCTTCAATACGTTACTCTGCAATTCTTCCTCCTTGCTTTCTGTAAATTATTATCCTCTCATAGAGTTAATAGGCGTTCTTTAGTGTGATTCACAACATTTTTACATTAATTTTGCAAGTTCTATTTTCCAGGCATAAGTAACTGTAAATGTAGTTATTTGTCCATGTTTATGGATGAATCAACAGATGCTATTTCCTAGCAATGTCTGACTAAGTGACTAGGCCCACATGTGAGGGAGGTAAACATCTAAATAACATAATTTATATCAATAACTATTTGTAAATGGTGCAAATGTGCCAATGCATAACGTAGTGCTGCGTGTTTCTTTTAAAGAAAAATCAGATTAATTTTCACCATAATGATATTTTTAAAATAATGAGCATATTCAATCGCTATAATTTTTCCCTGTGTGTCACCTACTCCATTTTTTTAACATTCTTATTAATGAGAAATAATTCCTTCTTTGTTTAATGGCAAAATGCTCAGAGCTGCTCACTTAATTTCGTATATGGCCTTAATGGGTTATGTGACAAATAATAATTTTCATTCCCATACCCTTTTTGGAGCATATGTGGTTTTTAGTTTTCCTTTTGAAGTGATACCTCAAAAAATCTATAAAAAGGAAAGGGAGGATTTAATCTAGCAATGATTCCATGCATGCTGAAAGAGTGATTCAAAATTCAGCACCTCTAAATTTTTCATTATCTTAATGCTCCACCTTTTAACCTGGCTTTCCAATGAATATATAGTATAGCTCCAACAATGCATCTATGTAATGAGATCTCTCCAGGAGCTTGTTCCTGGCTTCATGGTGCCTTATCTGCCTCACCAGGATATTTCTACCAAGCAATGAAACTGTTCACCACACTAATAGGAAGTTTGCAAACTTGGGATAGAGAAATATCATGGCGTTTATTTCAAAAAGGAGGAAATTACTCCTATAAATGAGTAGAACAAGATCAAACCTCTTTCACAATTCATTACAATTTTTCAGTAAACATACCTTTTTGTCACTGAATTCTTCATGCATACACATAAACACAAGGAATGAGAAGCAAATAAACTGACTGAAGAAACCCTATCATCTACCTTTTCTTCCATAGGTGAGAAAGAGATAAATTGGTTCTCTTCTGTTTCTGTTCATGTACAGAATTCTGTTTTCTGTAGGTCTATATATATGAAAAACTGCACTACAGAAGGAGAGGTCATACAGGGATAAACAGAGAGTTTTCTTCATTCTGCCCCTTTCTGTAGAGGAAAGTAACTGTACCATGCAATGTTTTACTTCACCTACTGTTTCTCAGAAGGCATAGAAACAACAGGACAGACAATTCTGGATAACTGGAACAGTGCTATAGTGTAATCAGTAGTACACAGATTTACATTGTACATAGTACATAACAGCGTAACATTTATCAACATCACATGTATGTATGATGGTCTCTGCTCTCTTAAATTCTCCAGAAGCTACAACACAGCTAATATGGAATTAATGAGTTTTAGACCTAACTCTATATATCTAAAAATTCTGTTATATTGGTAGCTTTCTTAACTTTCTCTTTAAATAAAAATCATGTTCTGATTGAAATATTTAATAATAAGCCATCACTGACGTTGGGAAGAATAATGAAACCACAGCTCTTCCATATATATAACTGAAGGCTACTGAACTTCCAACTCTTAAAACCGTGCTATACTGAATATATTGATTTAGATTTCTCACTGGATATTTTTACATATGGAACATTTTGGAATACATTTCTCTATTAGACCAAGTCTAAATCAAATGTGTCAAAATTGAGTCATCTTGAGGTTCTTGGCTCATATTTAGATACTTCAGCAAGGTTTTGTAGAGGTGAATTTCAAAATTCCTGAGCAAACCCTTTATTATAAATTGGTACTAGGGTTGAAAACATTGGCCTAGATGTTTGTCCCTAGTTTTTGAAATCTATAAATTATGTCTTTTGAATAAAGCATTATTCAACAGTCAAAACAATAAAGCTACTTTTTACTACATTAATTTAGTGCCCACTATTTCATCAGATGTGGGATTTTTTAGAAGTCTTGGTACTCTTAATTCTAGTATTCAACGCTGACAAATATAACAGATAAATTAAATTTACTCTGTTGAACTGACACCATGAAACTATAATGTATGGAGCCACAGGGAAATTATGATGTTCAAGGTTCTTGGCTACAGGCAGGAACATGCAACGCAATTCAAAAAAGGAGGGATGCAAAGATTATTTAAACTTCTGTCACCCTTGGTTAAAGAAAATACTCTAATCCTGCCTTCCTTCCACCCCATATTTCCCGTGCTTCACTCATTTTTGCTTTTAACTGATAGTGATGCAGATGGCTATTGAAACTTGTGAAGAGACTCATTCCCTCTGGTAACAGGTACATTAAACAGTCTTTCTCTCAGGAGTAAATTTTAACTGGCCTGGATGATCCTTTCATGAGGTACGCAGACCTGTTCTCCCAGTACACCCGTGAAGTCTGGCTTCAGAAACACATATGTAAAGACACATACATAAGACTCTCTACTGATGTGCTTAGTTCTCTAAATTGCAATCCAGAGAATGAGAGAAAATCCTTTCCCTGCATCTCCTTTTATTTGCTCTTCTAGTAACTGTTAAACAAATCATAATGGCTACAAAACTCATATAAGAAATCATCATATGCTCAGATTTTTCTTCTAGACATGTACCAGACTCTACACAGTTTACAGCATTTCATTTATTTATTGCCTTCTCTGTTATGTTTATTTACTATGATATAGTAGCTACTGAACTGTACAGTTGCATTAATCAAAGATTAAGGAGCATTTGTTTCTACACTAGTCCAAGGGTTTACAAGTAAGCAGGCAAAATTACTGGTAGATTAAAAGTGTTTCTTATTTTGTTGTGTATTATCTGAAATTGCACACAAAAATTTACAGACCAACCCATTTTTAAATGTGTTAGTTACTTCATAAGCAGGAATTTTCTTTAGCCATTCCTTGAAGTCAGTGAAGTCAAACCATTGAAGAAGTTGACTCACGATTCAAAAACTTTTGAAAGATGGTAGCTTCAAACAACAGAATAAGCTTACTCTTAATTACCTTCCATTTCATCTGCAGGTGATGGTATAAGAATTCTTAAAGTAATACCCTGTTGTTCTTATAACGCAGCTCCTCTGAGAGCTATTATATGAAAACAGGATGAACTATACTTTGTGGGATGGGTTGCTTTGTTTTATATTACCTGAAGAGTCCATAAGAAAACAAAGAAAAAAAAAAAAAAAAGACATTTGAAAGAAGTAAACCCAACCTTTCCATGCACTGGAAACAACAGATTTGTGCTTGTATGTTTAGAACTTTCATGTTAGTGAACAACAAGCTTTTAAGACCCAATTTGGGGATTGTGTCACAGTAGAACAAATGGAAGAGTGAACATAGGGATGCTGATAAAGACTAAGCTTTGTAACAAAGATTTTATAAAGATGTAATTGCTATATGTTTTTATACCTTTTTATGGATTCAGTACCAAGAGCAGAAGAAGAAAGACATTTTTACCAAGCTGTGAAGACAAAATGTTACAGGAACAAATCCTGACATACTGAAGTAGAAAAACAATCTTATAAACTTCTATAAGACTTTTATGACTAAGGTTGATTGATGCTTTCACTTTTAAAACCAAATCCTCTTAAAAGATAGTCAATTATAGATGTGCTGTTTAGGCCTGGTTCATAAACTTGTAATTTGTCAGGTCACAGGCCATATTTTATTATCTTTTAGTCTTCATACATTTAAAGTTTTAATACGTATTCAGAGGTCTTCTTGAATTGTGAACCATTTTCTTCTTCTTTTGGGCATAAGTGTAAGAAAACTGGGTGTGTGAAAGACAGACAAGGTATGGCATTTTTAAAAAAATAGATATTATACATCATCATTATTTTCTGTGTGTATATATATACACAGAATTAAAACAAGTGTATCATGGAAAAATAATATTGTTTTAACTGATTTTTATCTAACATGTAACCTTGAAAATTATAATACAACACACCTCCTAGTCCTGGTCTCAAGCGGTTATCATAACCATCCAGCAGACGATCCAATATTCTGGTAAATACTGTGGTGTTGTCTTTAAGTTCATCTTGTGATGAGGTTTGTCCATAGCTGAAATACAGAACAGTTAACACTGAAAAACAGTAATCCACCAATAACCTTACAAACAATAATTCCAAAATCTGTTTAAGCTTGCTTATACTGGTTTATGGTCACAAAGTCTCTTCCATAAAACAAGACCATAGCGCTTTATAGAGTGCTTTCACTTAAACATTTTCTTCTTCAATTATAAAGTTTTTATAAAATCATAGAAAATCAGTGACTCTCTATAAACAGTGAGCAAATATATCAGTTCCTTAATGTTTATCACATTATTCGTTAGTGATTATAATGTTCTACTATGTGTGTTTCCCAGTAAAAGGCTCATCTGTCAGCAAAAGATAATGTTTAATTCCTAATAGTTATAAAGGGTTTGCATACAAAGAAAAATACAGTAATGCAGAACACTGACACTTAAGTACTGAAAACAAGTACTAAAACAAAGATAAAACATAAAATACTGAGATGTCTTCTTTATGAATATAGAAGTAAATCAAGTGAATGTGCATTTTCATAGCTCAATATATAATTTTGTTTTATTTTATTTCCCATTTTCCTTTAGCAATTAGTTTTGGAAGAATACCTCTAATGTTTCTTTACGAAAGTTCACAAACCCATCTGTTGACATGGAAATGTCTCATGTCTATAAAGGTTCACTTACCCGTCCCTAATGGATATCTCTAACTCAGCCAAAGGTCCTGAAACTTTGCTTGGGCAAGGATAAAATTAAGCTCTTTGAACTCAGCTGCCAAAATCTTACTTCCATCAGTACAAATCAGAATGAAATCCTTGGGCTTATCTGTTTGTCTGCTGTAGATGACATCAGAATCAACCTTTTTCTTAAATCTGAAACCTTTACCAAATACCCTGTCATAGGTGATTCCCTTAATCAAAGATTACAGTTGTCTTAAAGCCAAACCCAGTATCATTTTTCCATTCATTTCTGGGAAGACTTCCATTATAAACATGTGTAGTCATCATGACTACAAAACTCATGAAGTGGCAAAACCACTGCTTTTCAAAACATCATTCTGTCGCACATGTTGCTACTGAACTGAATAAGCAGCGCAGTGCCAAAAACTCGGGTTAGGATCATGTCTAGTTACAGAAGTGATTCTTCTACTGGGCAGCTGGTTGTCCACGGGGCTACGGCGATGTGCAAGTCTCTGCGCTCCGCCAGTTGCTCCTGCTCTAACCAGCAAAGACCGACTTATGAGGTATATAGTGCTACATGAAATGATCTGGTCCTACTAAAATACCTACAAAATTATTATCTGTAAGCTGCATCAGTCAATCATTCTTCATGTATCCCACACGTATATTCCACTTGTATCACATACAGAGAGAAGGAGGAAAAATACCCTGAATGCAAGTACTCTGGAAATGCTTCCAAGTTATTTTGCAGTACAGGTTTGAATACGTAACACTACAGATTTAAATGAGTTTCAGAATTGACACTCATAGCAGTTTTACTAACTTTTGTTTTATTGCAATAGGATGTGACTTTGTAGAGAACAATTTTCAGGGTTTTTTTAATACATAAAAATCACAGTTTCTAATGACGACAAAATAACAGTTTTAAAAAATACTATGGATTTCCTCTAGCTGTATTATATAATTACACTTCATTAAAAATAGGTTGATTTATGTTTATTCTTCATACCTACAATTCAATTTTAAGTCACGGACGTTAATATTCTTTTCTTTTATGCTTCCTATATGTTACCAAATAACAAGTTCTCCTGCTGTCTCCAGTGAGCATTATCTTTCAAAGGATCATTCCTTATATGCCTTAGGTAGAATTGCAACACAGGACTTTTCACTGGATTAAATTTAATATTAACATTCACTGTCAGTAAACAAGCTGCTGTACATACATATCTCAAGGATAGCAGAAGGTCATCAGGCTTAAGGTGGCAAAATGATAGAAAAACACTTCAGAAATTTTAGTGGTAAATAAATGAGTATGTTTGCAGAAGAGGCATCAGAAAGATGGACTAGTGGCAGTGCAGTCAGAAAGGATGCAATACAATACACCGCTTCCATTCTGGGTGTCGCATTTGTCAGTGCCCTCACCTGTTCTTCCCACCATTTTATCAGAGGTAAAAAGCACTGTTAGGGCTGGTTTAAACTGACATATGGTCACAACAGGAAGAGTCTGAACATTTGTGTACATACAAAGTGTACTGTAACTCCACAGGGATTGTGATTTCTCTTTCAAAACACACGGATGAAAATAGTCCTAATGTTGTTTTTTTTTTATGACAAGAAGAATGATATGGAAAGACTGTGTTTTTCTGTATCACAGACGATTTATCTAATTCAGCAATTGTTTTTTATCATAAATGATTAACAGCACTTCAGAAGAAAAGGCAGGGAACATTACTCTGACAAAATGGTTTTAAAAACAGATATATTTCATGTAAGCTGTGTACATTTTGAGGAAAGAGTCACTGTATGCGATTGTATTTTCATATTAAACCACAGTATAATAAAAAACTGTGCACTAACTCCATCTACAGGTCATTATAATAGTGACACACCGGATAATTTTTAAACACTAGTCCAAAGCATTTCAATTCCCACTTTAAGAATGTACATGCATACATTATAGTTATAATAAATATATGTACACATATATATGTACACATATCTACATAAAGAACATGTTTTCACAAAATTATCCATCTAGGCCATATGAAGTACTTCATGAATACTTTAAATATAACCTTTCTTAATATATTATCAAAACAAAGGTATTGCTTCTAAAATGTCATGCTTATTCAACACAGCAAGTGTTACATGAATCATCCCCTTTTATTATTTTTCTTTTTTTTTTAGAGGAAATGATTGTGCAGGTGAACCTTTGCCCTTTGCCCCCTCCACTCTATTTAAAATTTTCAAGGTAACCAGCAAATAAGTTCATCTAGAGCTGCAAATGCATAAGGAGACACTATGGAGATCAAGGCACAAATGCATCTTTTAGGGATCACTATTGACAATACAAAATTTCTATTGCTTTTTGGTCATTAGGTAGCATTATTGATAGGACATTAATAATTATTTTTAAAATACAGAAATATATGTGTGAGTCTTCTTAAACACCTTTACTAAATTTCGAATTGCAGAGAATACTTCAAATATACTCCAAATTGTTTTATAGCCTTTAGTTAACCTACTAGTTGTTATGATTACAAACTGTTTGTAATACTAATGCTATTTTTAGATTATGATTTCAGCATATATTCTATAAACATTCAGTGCAGCATAGTCTTTCAAACATAAACTGTTATGGGGTCTGAGTTTACAAGTTCTTCTTCATCCTAGTAGTCTCCCTTCACCGGGAATGTCTACTTTGGATTTGCAAAACCAGCTACTAAGTTAGGAGATAATCCTGACCAACAAAGAAGTGAAAGTTTCACCTCTGCTTGCAGGGACAATAAAGTTACTAAATAGCACTTAAATGAGATTTTTAAAAAACTTAATTACACTTTTTTTTTCCTCTAAAGAAACTTGCATTTCTGAGCAGTCATTATAGAAGAGTAGAAAGGATTGCACAGGTGTTTAAGAGGTAGTTTAGTTTCAGTTTGTTTCAGAAAGCTTTTTTTTTCTTCATAATATTGAAAAAAAGATGTTATGCAAACAAATTGCAGTTTTCTTTCAGTCTTCCCTTAGTTAGATTTATCTGGGATTTGAACAGAGATTAACTTCCCCCAATACACTTAGTAGTAGTGCAGCCCATACAGTATTTGTCTTATGCTGCTATGTTAAATTAAAGGTTCCTAAAATATGTTGATGCATTAAAAAATATCTCCCCACCTTCTTTCAGTCAGTGCATTCAGAAGGAGGCTCCAGGCCCAGAGGCAGTCACAAAGCACCAGGACCCTCTTCATGGTGGGCTCTGAAACTGGAAGGAAAATAATCATCAACATCCTCTACATTAAAACAGGTACTGTGGAAAAAAATGTCTAATTTTGGAAACTTTTGCAGAATAATTTCATGTCAGGCAATGACCTCACAATACTACACCTCACGTCGCTCAGAATAAGGGAGCACAGCATTGGCTGTTCTCATGTTTACCTTCTACTTTTAGACACTGAGGCTTAGGGTGGGATTTATGTTGCGGTAAGGGTGTATTCTTGTTTGCATTATTCCTGAACTTTAACAAAAACAATTATGAGTTAAGGCTGCTGTCCCCAAACTCTGTGGCAATTCTTACTCACTTTCCTCCTGTGTTGAAAATGTGACAAGGCACCTTCATAACATTTATGGATAACCAAGTGTAACTGTTTTTTGTTTGACTTGAACCAGCTCGAGTCCTTCCAAACCCCTTGGAAGGTGTCAGTGTGTGGCAGCGTGACGGAGGAGAGTGGTGCTTCCCTCACAGCCACTGCTTTGCTTTGATGTGATGGAAGTAACTTTCTTCCACAGATATTGCTATTTTCCTCTTCCCTGAAATATTACCATCATAGAAGGAGTAAATTGATCAGATTTTGACTCTGTGATCTACTGCTACATATGCACACTAATATTTTTCTTGGGCTAAAGGGGACAATGCATAATAAAACCATGTGCTGACAACCTACACACCATCTCCTAAATCTCTACCAGCCTCTGACTGCTGCTAGGAAATGTTTTTGCATTAGCAGCCTTCTCCTCCTCTCCAAATGTCTCCTGTCCTCTCTCCAGACTTCACTGAGTTACTCTCAGTTTACCCTTGACTAAAAAGTAACACAACTCAGGTTTCTTTTGCTTTCTAATAAACCATAAAATACAAAGTTAGCTGGTATTTGTAGAATCAGTGTTCCAGATTCAACTGATTGCCCAGGAGATGCTGCAGGTCCCTTTACATTTCTATAAACTGTGTGCTGGAATCCAGTTGATTTTTAGTATTCATTACATTAAATACGGGCAACAAAATATGAAGCCTGTTATTTTCCCCCAGTAGTGAATTGGAGTTTTTTTTAAATGCCTGAGAAAATGAAGCACTGTACAGGGAAATGTTGTTGTACCTTTAAATAAAGATACCCCATTTCACTGCACACTCTCAGGGACAATTTAAATCAATAAAATATCATTCAAAAGCGGTATGTAAGCAATGAGATATAATTAACGCATTTATAGACAAATGATCGGCAGATAAGGATTGAGTGGGGCTGAGCCAATCTGACTGGATAGGAAGGAGCTGGATGTGGCAGGGAAGCCTGGATAAGGATCTTCAGGGACCAGGCTGCATCTTAAGTTGCCCTGTGATCAGCCCCCTTACAAAGGGAAAAGCAACATCTGTGGCTTCAAAAATCGCCTTCTCCCGGTCCTGCCAACTTCTGCCTTTGCAAAAGGCTCCTCGGGATAAAGGATGGAAAGTGAATTATTCTGAACTATCTTGATCTGTTGAGCTCCACGCCCGACCCCCCCACCCCCCCTCCAACACCACCCCCCGCTTCAATAAACCCATACAGGCACTATAAATCCTGGAGAATTAAAGTTTCTTCCAGCTGAAAAAAGCCAATGTTAAATACTTTCAAGGAGCGTTAAACACCAGCAGACCCCAGCCCCTGGCCTCCCCCTGCCCGCACTGCCTGGGAAACCAGCTCTGGTTTTCCCATTCAAAATGGGAGAAAGAGCCACGCTTCTGGGAGAATTTCAGCAGCGCCCACTGGAAAAAAAAAAAAAAAAAAAAAAATGGGGGGACAGGGGGGCATACTGATGCATTTTTGACTCCCAGTGAGAGATTCGCCCATCTCTCAGGCGCAAATGGAGACTTGTTTTCCTCCCGGCATTTCAACTTTGTATTTCCCCCTCACCCTGAGAAAGCCACCCCTCCCACCGCCTCCCTCGGAAAAAAAAAAAAAAAAAAAAAAAAAAAAAAGCCCCAAAACCAAAAAATCTTTTCCGAGCGACCGGTGGAAATCAGTCCACGCTAAAAAATAAATAAATAAGATAAATTACAATGCCCATCGATCGCTGCGGATTTTCAAGCTGGAGGGAGAGGAAAAAAATCACACCGACCCGGCGGTACCTGCGAAGAGGGGAGAGGAGCCGCCTGCGCGCCTGGACGCGGTGCCCGCAGCCGGGAGCGCCCGGCGGGGTGCGGGGGTGCGTGCGCGGGGTGGGTGCGTGTGCGGTGGGTGCGTGTGCGGGGTGGGTGCGTGTGCGTGTGCGAGCGCAGAGCCGCCCTTACCGGGAGCCCCCCGGGCGCGGGTCCGCGGCGCCGCTGCCCGGCTCTGCCCGCCCGCCCGCCCGCGCGGAGGCTGCGCGGCTCCGGCTCCGCCGCTCACTCCGCCTCGGCCATCGCCGCCGCCGCCGCTGCTCCGCTCCTCCGGGTTTAGCACCCAAATTTCTCTTCCCAATATTCCGACCGCCGCTATACAACAAAAGCTTTCTCTTTACCAAGACAGTAGTAATACGTCCCAGGGTAAACCGGATGTGAAATAGGCTGTGACTTCATGCCAGAGAGATTTTATTTTAGAAAGGAAGGTGGTACCAAGCTCTCATCTAGAGACCAATCCGCCCATTTTTTATATGCAGCACAATTTAACTTCCAGTGCTCTCGCCCTAATCCCTTTCTCTCTGGCTGCGGACTCAAATCCTTCTACAATCTGCAGCATTATTATTATTTGGGGGGGGAGGCTGCACGCCTGGGGGGAGCCTGGGGGGAGTCTTTAGACACTTGCAGTTTACAAACCAGTCTATTTTAAGGGTCGTACATTAAAAATATAACGGGTCTGCGTTAACGTTCAGCCTTCGAGCAAATATTTAATCGCGCCATAAATATGAATGAAGGCTAGCAAGCAGTGTAGAGGACGCAGCACTACGCGCGTGTGCCTATAGACTGTATATACCTATAGAGACCGGGCGGTAGCCTACGGATGTAGCCAGACGGGGACAGAGATGCTGTGCAATCCTAATTAAACCCAGGTAACGTGCACTTTGGGCGAGACCCGTAGGCAATCGGCTCCAGGACCTGGTGGCTCTCCCACACTTTCACACGCCTGTTATCGGTAGGTGCCACGTTTGCCCGGCGCGGCCCCAGGGCTCTGCCGAGGGCCCGGGGGCTGCCACCCCCCCTGTCCCCGCTGCACCCCCCTCCCAGGGGCCGCCGGGGGGGTCCGCAGCCGGGACAGCCCCCGCGGCGGGAGAGGGGCTCCCGCCTGCCCCCCCCCGCCTTTCCCCCGGACACGCGTGGTGGCCCGGCCCTGGCCCACCTGTGATCACCGAGGGGCACGGTTCTGCTTGAAGGTAACGTCAGTTTAACCCCCGGCCAGCGACCGAGCTCTGCTCGGGAGGGAGCAAACAGGGTGGGCTCGGCGGGTGCTGATACTTCTGCGGAGGAACGAGGAGAAAGTTGGATGCATCAGGTAGGGCAAGGTGTTGGGTGTGCGGGGGGAGCGACATGCTCACCTGCCCCCACCGGGTACCGTGGCTTTAGCTCAAGGCACCTTTCATCAGCCCCAAGCCTTCTGCAGAGATGTCAGACACTGCTAACTGCCACAAACCCAGCGTGGTCGGCCGTCTTAGCTCTGTTTAGTGTAAAGATATAATGAACTCCTCAGTCCACAGTATCTGTTACTTATGAAGCACTACCAGCATCTGTGGGGTGGAAAAAATCCTTGTCATATGCACCTACTGGATTTCAAATACTGTCTGTTTTCCCTCTTTCCCTCTCAATGCCATCGCCGATCCAATTTCTGTTCCCTCCTATGATGCTGCTCCAAGGGAGGTCAAAACCTGTATTTTGTCAGAGATAACCTGAATTGGTATCCTATGGTACAGTTAAACTATCTGTTGCAAGCTTTATTCAGATTTTTAGATCAGATATTGCACATTCTGCACATCCTCATGAAATACATGATTTGTTTGTAACAGCATCAGAAGGATTTGATGTGACCCAGCAAACCAATGACATTCATAGCTAGGGCTGGCAATAACTTCCAAGGTGGCAGTCATTTTGGATAAATGCCTGACTTCTAACAGTCTAAACGCTGCAATGATTTCCCTAAGCACAAGGAAAATAGAAATTTTGTTTATCGAAGTCCCCTAGTTCACAAAGTTCACCCAGTCATTATGATCAGCAGTAAATATCCACAGGTTATTTTAAAGACTTACAATGCAGTTTTTGCTTAGTTTCCTGACATTTCCAACGTAGTTCATCTCATTTTGATTCAAGGTTGTTAGCAGTGCACAGAGAAGTAGGGAACAGAAAAACCTACTGACTTCCCAAGGAAATTATAAGCAGTGACTTTTCAAATCACTAGCGCACAGACACAATCTTAGTGGCTAGATGTATTTTCCAAATATGCAATGTTTTCACCTTCATTTGCTCTTAGCTAACATAATTTACTATGTTTTCATTTTTGCACTGAAGCATGAGAGAATTTTGCTTAAGCAACAAGTTGAGGTCCTCAGCTGAGTTTACAAAAGCAGCACAAGAGATTTTTATTGAAGTACATTGATGCTGCGTGGCTGTAAAACCATGGAGATTCCTTGCCCTGTCACTAGGGTATTCATTATATTACCTACAGTGACCTTAATAATTTTTTTAAATTGGTAATATATGTTTGCAAAAATAAATAAATGTTCAACATAGCTCCAGTATTCAATTTTCCCCTTCATTTCTCATGAACAAAGAAATTGTAAGTACATTTGCTATATGTGTGTGTCTGTGATAGGTAGTGAGGCAGGCAGATGGGCTGAGAAGTGAATGACTGAATGGCTAGAGGTTCATGTACCTCTGTGCACTAAAATCTGAGCCAGTGGGCAGCTGAAGTAGTTTCAGAGCCCGTGAGACATAACCTTGCATCCTATACTTTTCTTCCTGACTTATTTTTAATTAGCATATAAACAATGGCAACTGGTTTATTTTAATAAAGTGTCAAGGGTTACACAGGATGGTCTTTGCCTCCATGGACACAATTGCCATCTGCCAAAGGATGATACGTTGTTCTGAGTTCTCCCTGGGTGAAAATATTGACCTAAAATTGGAAGTTGCTCATTCTCTCTCTAAATCTCATCTGCTCAGAAAGTAGGACAAAACTATTTTTCCTCCATGGCTGAGATTCCTGTCCATCAGTGCTCACACGTAACCCAGATTTTTCCTTTTCTTTTCAGAGGTTGTTATCACAGTTATCATGTCATTACATAGTAAATACTAAAAATATTTGGATGTAATCAAACAAATATGCTGGTTTATGATGGATTGTGGTAACAAAATAACTGTTTTTTAAGGGAAGAAAGAAAAACAATTATAAAATAAAATATAATTTATTATTACCAACAGAAATGTCCTTTGGAAGAACAAGTGATTAGTAGGAGATACGTGTCTTGCAATCCTTACTTTTTCCCTTTCCCATCTAAATTCCACTGACCTAATCCAAATACCACTAAGGGTAATGCATATATGAAATAAATCCGTCTGTGGGTTTCAGGCACCTAACTTAAGAGAGTATCTTTGAAAATCTCCAGCTATATATAGGAATGTATATATTACCAGTGAGTCTTAGGGTCATATGATTTAATTCTTGAATGAATTGTTCCAATGAGAAAGGAAAGATGCATTTGAATTTATGTTTCCAAGTAACTCAATATTAGATGATATGCAACTCACTGTATGGTTTTACAGTCACTTTTGGAAAAGAAAGGTGCCAAGGAGACCTATGTTTTTTCAAGTCACCTTTATGACTCCATAGTTTTCAAAAAGAGGCTGTGTCATTCATGTTACAAGGTAGTGTAGAGCTAAATCCTTTAAAAACAATATTATTAAATCTGAACAGTCAGCCAAAATGAACTTGGCACAGCTACTACGTGCAATGCTTTGAACCTTGATGTTAGTACAAGTGATTAGTAGCAATGAAGTTAAAACAATTGAATCCTATTTTTGTAAAATATATTTATTAAATGATGGATTAAAATTGATATAAAGATTTTGAAAGGGGGTATAACTATTTTTGCTTTTGACTTTCTAGTAAGCACTTTTTGAAATCTGGCCTATTCCTTATGTGCCTGCATCCTCTTTCTGTATATATATACATAACGTATATGCAGAGTATTTAAAGAGGTCACCAGGGAAGAATATATTTTTTTTCAGTGTTGTGTATTTTATCATGTTGTTCTTTGTGTGTACAAAATATACATATGTTTTATTTTAGTTTAGGAGCATATGTAAAACAACTGAAATTCCACAGCAGAATATTTTGTCACAGTGTGTCCTGAATAGACAAGGGATTTGAGTAAAGCAAATGAAACTCAGAGATTTACTGGCATACAGCAGATCAGATAAAGAATTAAAACAGAAAGACCATCTGCTCCAAAGCTTTGAACTCTATTATTTACAAGACCTGCTTGTGTGGTTAAATGGAAATATTTTGTTAAATGTATGATTTGAACTCTATTTTTAATTTAATGTATTTCAGAAATATATTGAAGAATAGCTATTGCCTTTGGTAGATGTAACAAAATTCAGTTGCTTAACTTTTTTTTTTTTCCTTTAAATTACAGCCACAGTCAAGAAAGCAGGACATATAATTGTCAGCTAGTGTTTTTTTTAAAAGTCAAGTGGTGATGTAAAAAAAAAGTTCACTCTCATTACGCCTCTTAATTTTACAGTAAGGTTCTATTAATTGCCTTTCTTCTCTTCAAAAAATTAACAGAAAGACAAGAACTTCCAGGGAAATACAAATGAGAATCTTCATGAAAACATGTTGCACTGTTTTCAAAGAGTCAATCAGAGATACAATGCCCATTAAAGACATATGAATGTACTTTCTAGATCTGTGTTGAAAATTGAAAGTAGCACTTCTTTGAACCCATTATCTATTAAAAATAGAATAAATATGTAAAATAGCTGATGCCCAGAAACTTAGAGATGATGATTTTCTCTTCACAGTCTCATAATACAGTATTTAAAACAGAAACTCCAATTACTCACAAGTTTCTCAGACTTTCTAATCCACAGAGACAACAATTTATTATGCCTTGCCGTGCTGTTGCCAAACATGACCATGAAATTCAAGGCGTAAAGCCAGAAATGGAGGATTCTTACCTAGATAATAATAGGAATTCTTGTATGATGTCAGAAAGGAAGAATGAGATAATAATCTGTTTTCTGAAAAAAACACTATGGAATTAATGAAAAGCACCAAAAAGAACACAGGTCACAATCAGGAGCTTGGGGGAATTACAGGAGCCTGGTAAATCCCGTGGTGATCATTGATGAGATCTTTTTGAGGAGGGTCTTCCTGCAACAGCTGGATTTATCTATAGTGGAATACAAGCACTGTATGTGTTTATCTCCTGCACTCTAACTCACTGCTTCTGATGAGGTGAAGTCTTCACTAGTAAATCTACAACCTCCTGGAGCTTCCTTAGTACCTTTAGTATAAGTTCAACACACCTCTACAACTAGGAAACTCTCCCCACAAAAAGGTCATTCAATTACCCTTCAAAAATAAGAAAGTAATTTTGTGGCTCACTGTCCTTCCTGCTCTGCATTTGTAAGGAAAGATTTGTTTGGGACTCAGACCTTAGAATTATGACTTGTGGTTTGATACAATT